GAGATCGGAGAGATGGAGCCACTCGTGTCGCCGACTCCAGTCGATTGTTTGCGGCTGCACGTTCAGCTTAGGAACGGAGTATACCTCTTGTACGGTAATATCCGTTCTTCCGTTTCCATCCGACATTGGCGATACCTGCAGTTCAAATCGGTGCACAGTTCTCTTCTCGCCGGCCCCTTCGACGTTGTTGAGTTGCAGCTCCTGGCGTTCTCCGATGATACCCAGGCGCTGCCTCAGCCGATCGGTGCAGAGAGAGGTTTGTGCTCCGGCGTCCAGTAGTGCGTGCGTGTCACTGCACTCGCCGTCTGGCCCGAACACACGCACTGGTACGACTTGAAGAAGTGTAGACGTTCTGGTCGCATTCAGCGCGGCTCCGATCGTGCGATTAGTTGAGTGCTGCTCTGCTGGATCCATATGTTGTTGGGTTTGCTCGAGCGCGGCAGCCTGCTCCGTTCCACGACGCTCGAAAACACGCTGGCTGCCATGTAGTAGCTGGTGGTGTCTGCCTCCACAGCCGGCAGAACTGCACTGTTGGACAGATGTGGACGGGCACCTTCTCGAGATGTGTCCCGTCTCCAAGCAGCGAAAACATCTGTCATTGTCAGCGATGTATCGAGCTCGTTCCGACACCGACTTTTGGGCAAATGCATTGCAGCGAGCCAAGTCGTGTCGGCGATTGCAGAGGGGGCACGCCGGCTGGGAGCCATGCTGAGTGGCCACCGTGGCGAGAGCCGAACGCGCACTCGATCCATGCCTCTGACGCGACGCCGGCGGTCGGCGCTGACTGTCTGCCGCTGAGCTGATGCCGCTGTTTCCTTCACGCTCAGTTATTGAGCTGCTGAGCAATATCCGGACTTGTAGAGCTAGCCAGTCATCCAGATCCGACAGTGTGACTTGCCTTGGCTCCAGCTCTACTGCTCGTTTTCCCCACTCGTGACGGAGTTGAATCGGCAGTTTCACGACTGCTCGTCGCAAGTTCTCGCGGCTCGTGACGTCACCATGATAGCCGAGCGATTGGAGAGTCGTAACCGCGGAATGGAGACGAGCTTGAAACATTTCTAGGGCTGCTGCGTCGAGGTGCTTCAGAGGCTGGTTCTCGAAAACAGCCCTCAGGTGTGCAAAAACGATATCGTCACTCCTGCCGAATCGACTTTGAAGAGCTTGTAGCGCCTGCGGGTAGAGCTCGCCATCGTATAGCATCCCTTCGATTGTTTTCTGCGCCAGACCAGTGACTGCCGACTGTAGATGAACGATTTTTTCTGCGTTTGACAGCCCTGGTTGCTTGTGAATCAGCGCCTCGAAAAGTCCAATCCACTTTGGCCACTCCAGAGGCTCACCCGAGAACTTCGGCAGTGCTATGCGCGGCACGCTGTGGAGCTCGGTGTGACGCGCTGTCGTCTCTCTCTGTTGAGATGGTGAGGCCTCAGGACTGTTCAGCCTCCTGATCCAGTCTGCTGTTCTCAGGTTGCTTTCACCAACGTTCGCGCGTTCATGCTCAACTTCACAATCGGCAACAGCAGCTTCGTCTCTGATGTCATCAGTCCTATCCAGGTTGACTGTCCCTGACTCAATGGCTTCTTGCCGCAGTCGAGCTTCAAGTTCGGCTGTTTCAGCCGCTTCTCTAGCCGCCTGAATCTTCAGGTTAAATTCCTTTTCGCACTGAAGACGTTTTTCTTCCTGGCGACTCCTCAAGGCGGTCAGACGGGCCTGAATCACAGCCTCATGTGAATGAGCCACAGCTGCCGTCGAACGATGGGACGACGCTGCACCAGCTTCAGAAGCGGCCTCGTCAGATCTCGATTGAAGGTAAGTCATTATCTTTTGAACGATACTGTTCCGCTGTGCTTCGATTTCAATCATGTATTCGTTTGCCTTCGATTTCTCTTCCTCGTCCGTCAATAACAGCAAGTATGACTCATTGGAGTCCGTCACTGTGTCCATTGCACGGTCAATATCACCGAGCAGCTCTTGGAGAATGGTACGACTGCCTCGAACTGCGATCAGATTCTCGGCTCGATTGCAGATGCGTGTCAAACACGACTTCTTGTTTGCTCGGATCCGCTTCAATCTTGCTGCTTCGGGTGATTGATCCATGTCGATTATTTGCTGATGCTGAGCAGCACAATCATTCAGAGCATACGTTGTTAAGCTTAGAAGCCATCCAATGCGCGGAACGTTACGTTATCTGTGGCCATTACGCTAAGTGCGAACGATGCGAAACTCAAAAAACGTAATCTAATTCACGATAATGACGTTAGAGCGAACGACGATATAACGCTCAAAGGCTACGTTATTCGTGAACATTACGTTAGAGCGAACGAGACGACACACAAATTACGTTATCCGGCCCGGAGGACCAAAAAATGTTGCGAACGAATTGATTCCGGTCCGATCGACCGGTAAAGTTACGAATAAGCAAAATCCGAATAATACGGAAGTCGAATTAAACTTGTTCCGAATCGATCAATCTACATATATTGTCCGCCATTTTCTCATTCTAATTTCAACCAATTCATTCACACGACAACAATAGCACCGACGAAATTCCGACTGCGTGAAAATATGCAAAATGGCGCGTGCCATAACACACTGGAGCCGCTACGGCGGCGACAACCTATGACCTTGACCTCGGGTTTTTAATGTGCTACTTCCTCTTGATGAGACGAACACATTGGTTGGCGAATTTTTCAAATCGGACCATAAACAAAGATTATACAGGGTACGCAGTGTTTTGACCTCTCAAGATCAAACGGTTTGACCTAGGAAAAAAAGGTCACCATTTTCGACCTCAGCGTGCCTTGGGCTATCTGTATACCAATTTTGAGCGAAATCATTACTCGAATTTGAATCCGAATACGAATACGACGCTAACTTTATGGACATCTTCCTCTTTTCCAGATACATGCATATTTTGAGGTGGAAGTGGGATGCTAAGGGACAGGGAAGAAAAAATAAAAAATAACATCTAAATATAATTTCTTGAAGTTTTCTTTCAGTAGGCATGGAAAACACCAAGTTCCCTATAAAATGCTGGCAAGTTAATGCTTTTATCTCTAACACATCTCAAGTTATATAACAAAACACCTCAAAACTCCCTTAACACTCTGTTTTACAATGATGGGTCAATGAAGACTGATGAAGGTAGGTAAATGTGATCTGTCATCATAAAAAGGCTAAAACAAAGACGGCAACATAGTGACAAGTGACTAGCTTCAAAACGGTTTTTTTGTTGATGACAAAAGGGTACTTTTTGGTTCTGTTCACCTTATAATTAGCATATTTTCCAGAAGCGTAAACTGCATTACATGTAATTGGCTGAAAAGGCCATTAGTGGTGAATGAACCTGACTTGTTTTGTGACCGAATATGCAAAACATTTCAATAAATAAATGGTGTGCCCTTTCACATCCCAATGGTGGGCATTTGATGACCATTTCTTGAAATAATATAGGTGTTCCTTAACACCCCACATTGGGTTGCTGAGGGACAGTGAAGAAAAATGATGAAAAATAAGATGCAGGTAATATATTTTAAAAGTTAAATGTATCGGCATGTAAAACACCAAATTCCACATCAAATGCTAATAATTTGATGCTTCTATCTCCAACCCTTCTTGAGTTAATATCGGTAACTACTGGGCCTATTGTGCTGAAGCTTGGCATGTAGGTACTAGGTACTAGGTAGGCACCCACTAGGCAATGCATATCCATGTGCCACAGTTGGGGTGCTGCTGCACGTGCGCACGTGTACGGGGCGATTCCAGATCTCGAGAACGGCTGGGCCGATTGCACTCAAATTTGGTACGGGGTTAGGGACCGGTTAGAAGGGTGCCGTGCAAAAGTCAGTTGGGACCCATTTTGCACGTGCGCACGTGCAGGGTGCCGCTTTCAGATCTCGGGAACGGCTGGGCCGATTGTGCTCACATTTGGCACATCGCTAGAGACCGGTTAGTAGGGTGCCGTGCACAAGTCAGTTGGAGGTACCCCTTGCAATTTCGCACGTGCAAGGCCCACCCCCTCGCTCGCTCCGGTCATGGATTAGGTATTCCTGGATGGGACACTCCACCGATTTTCCTTTGACCACGCACGACGGCGAGGGCGCAGGCGCCGTTTAGCATTGCCTGCTATGGGCGGATCGTGTCTAATAGTTCCGTATGTGATAGTGACTAAATGGAGCCATAATAATTATTAGAAAGGACTAAAGAATATGTTTAAAGTGTCTGAAATCGTGTTTTACGAGCTAAAGTTCGCTAATTTCGCTCTCCATTACCGCGTTTTCAGCACGCGCGCCGGTGCGGCGGCCGACGGTGCAATCGCCACCGATGTTTCGGCGCTCCGCCACCAGGGCGGCCGCTTGGTCGCCGGCGCTAGTGTTGGGGAATAGGGAGTGTCCAGCTATCCAGGAATACTTCATCCATGCTCCGGTAGTCGCCCTAGAAGGCGCTATACTGGTAGTTTAACACTTAGCAATTCCATAAAAAATATCGAAGCTCATACATTTTGTTACACACCTTGGTGGAAAGCAATATAAATATGGTAACAAATTCATGGTTTTCTTTTTAAATTGTTAAAATATTTGCTCGGACAGATTGGCGGAGCTGTATCCCACGCTAAGCAGAGCGTGCTGTGCCGGTCCCGAATCATGCCGTCTGAACGCGGCATTCCGGGTAACCGGAGAATTGAGGTGCAAAGTTCAGCATGCGGTTCAAAGTTGGACACAGTGTGTGGCACTCAATGGACGTGACCAGCTGGAGCTGCCCCCACCAACGGCAGTCCATCCCTGTCAGCAGTCTCGCACCTATATCGAGCGCTAGGGCAGCTCAGACCCACGCTGTTACCACAGCGGGAATTCTGATACCTTTTCTGAGCTACAGGGTGGAATGACGAGGCTCCTGCTGTTCGCCTACAGTTTCCTGTGGTCATTTCTGTAGCGTGCGCCCGTGCCAGCTACCAACTGGAGCTCTCTCGGGGCGGCACTGACTCCCGCCTGTTGTCCTTTCAGCGCGGCGGCGGTGCAGCTCGGGGCGCGATGCAGCCGCCCGGCTACGACTCGGACAGCGAGGACGACCTGCCGCCGGCCTGGGAGGAGCGCGTCAGCCTCGACGGCCGCGTCTACTACGTGCAGTGAGTCGCCGAGTCGGCGGTCGGCTCTGCTCCGTGCAGTGAGTCGCTGAGTCGGCGGCCGGCTCTGCTCCGTGCAGTGAGTCGCTGACTGAGTCGGCGGTCGGCTCTGCTCCGTGCAGTGAGTAGCCGAGTCGGCGGCCGGCTCTGCTCCGTGCAGTGAGTCGCTGAGTCGGCGGCCGGCTCTGCTCCGTGCAGTGAGTCGCTGACTGAGTCGGCGGCCGGCTCCGTGCAGTGAGTCGCTGAGTCGGCGGCCGGCTCTGCTCCGTGCAGTGAGTCGGCGGCCGGCTCTGCTCCGTGCAGTGAGTCGCTGAGTCGGCGGTCGGCTCTGCTCCGTGCAGTGAGTCGCTGAGTCGGCGGCCGGCTCTGCTCCGTGCAGTGAGTCGCTGAGTCGGCGGCCGGCTCTGCTACGAGTCGCTGCTCGCCACGGCAGCCCGGGAGACTGGGCAGCACTCGGGCCAGCACAGTAGTCCATTACTGCGCTGCTAAACAGACTGCATTGTTCTGCTCCTCTGCAGAGTCAGCTCTTTACGCTACGGCTTTGGTTTGTCCAGAGAGGTAGAAATACATAGAATATGCTGACTTCTCTTACCTCACACTCGACTTCATTGCAATCTGTCGATTATTTGCTAAAAGCCGAGTGGCCTTGTCCTGTACATATAGTGTATTGTACCGGTGAGGTCGTGAATGTGATATGAACTGCTCTCAGTCCGCTCTGAGTGACCGCCGTCCGCGTGTGCCGCAGCCATGTCGAGAAGGTCACCCAGTGGCGACACCCGCGCACCGGCAAAAAGAAAATTGTGCCCAGTGAGCTGCCCTTCGGCTGGGAGCGCGTCATCGACGACAGCGGCAAGGTGGGAGCGCGCCCGGCGCCGAGACTGCGCGGCGGGGGGGGGGGGGACTCTGGGCACGGCGCCGTGGGGCGTGCTGGGGAGGACAGGGAGGCTGCTGGGAGGACACAGAGGCTGCTGGGAGGACAGGGAGGCTGCTGGGAGGACAGGGAGGCTGCTGGGACAGGGAAGCTGCTGAGAGGACAGGGAGGCTGCTGGGAGGACAGGGAGGCTGATGGGAGGACAGGGAGGCTGATGGGAAGTGGGAGGACAGGGAGGCTGCTGGGAGGACAGGGAGGCTACTGGGAGGACAGGGAGGCTGCTGGGAGGACAGGGAGGCTGCTGGGAGGACATGGAGGCTGCTGGGAGGACAGGGAGGCTGCTGGGAGGACATGGAGGCTGCTGGGAGGACAGGGAGGCTGCTGGGAGGACTGGGAGGCTGCTGGGAGGACAGGGAGGCTGCTGGGAGGCTGCTGGGAGGACATGGAGGCTGCTGGGAGGACAGGGAGGCTGCTGGGAAGACAGGGAGGCTGCTTGGAGGACTGGGAGGACAGGGAAGCTGCTGGGAGGACAGGGAGGCTGCTGGGAGGACAGGGAGGCTGATGGGAGGACAGGGAGGCTGCTGGGAGGACAGGGAGGACAGGGAGGCTGCTGGGAGGCTGCTGGGAGGACATGGAGGCTGCTGAGAGGACAGGGAGGCTGCTGGGAGGACAGAGAGGCTGCTGGGAGGAAAGGGAGGCTGCTGGGAGGACAGGGAGGCTGATGGGAAGTGGGAGGACAGGGAGGCTACTGGGAGGACAGGGAGGCTACTGGGAGGACAGGGAGGCTGCTGAGAGGACAGGGAGGCTGCTGGAGAGGACGGGGAGGCTGCTGAGAGGACAGGGAGTCTGCTGGGAAGACGGGGAGGCAGCTGAGAGGACAGGGAGGCTGCTGGGAGGACAGGGAGACTGCTGTTGGGACAGGGAGGCCGCTGGGAGGACAGGGAGGCCGCTGGGAGGACAGGGAGGCCGCTAGGAGGACTGGGAGGGCAGGGAGGCTGCTAGGAGGACTGGGAGGACAGGGAGGCTGCTGGGGAGGACGGGGAGGCTGCTGGGGAGGACGGGGAGGCTGCTGGGGAGGACGACGAGGCTGCTGGGGAGGACGGGGAGGCTGCTGAGAGGACAGGGAGGCCGCTGGGAGGACAGAGAGGCTGCTGGGAGGACAGGGAGGTTGCTGGGAGGACAGGGAGGCTGCTGGGAGGACAGGGAGGCTACTGGGAGGACAGGGAGGCTGCTGGGAGGACTGGGAGGACAGGGAAGCTGCTGGGAGGACAGGGAGGCTGCTGGGAGGACTGGGAGGCTGCTGGGAGGACAGGGAGGCTGCTGTGAGGACGGGGAGGCTACTGAGAGGACGGGGAGGCTGCTGGGAGGACTGGGAGGACGGGGAGGACAGGAAGGCTGCTGGGAGGACAGGGAGGCTGCTGGGAGGACAGAGAGGCTGCTGGGAGGACGGGGAGGACAGGGAGGCTGCTGGGAGGACTGAGAGGATGGAGGCTGCTGGGACAGGGAAGCTGCTGAGAGGACAGGGAGGCTGCTGGGAGGACAGGGAGGCTGCTGGGAGGACAGGGAGGCTGCTGGGAGGACATGGAGGCTGCTGGGAGGACAGGGAGGCTGATGGGAGGACAGGGAGGCTGCTGGGAGGACAGGGAGGCTGCTGGGAGGACAGGGAGGACAGGGAGGCTGCTGGGAGGACATGGAGGCTGCTGAGAGGACAGGGAGGCTGCTGGGAGGACAGAGAGGCTGCTGGGAGGACAGGGAGGCTGCTGGGAGGACAGGGAGGCTGATGGGAAGTGGGAGAACAGGGAGGCTGCTGGGAGGACAGGGAGGCTACTGGGAGGACAGGGAGGCTGCTGGGAGGACTGGGAGGCTGCTGGGAGGACAGGGAGGCTGCTGGGAGGACAGGGAGGCTGCTGGGAGGACAGGGAGGCTGCTGGGGAGGACGGGGAGGCTGCTGAGAGGACAGGGAGTCTGCTGGGAGGACGGGGAGGCTGCTGAGAGGACAGGGAGGCTGCTGGGAACACAGGGAGACTGCTGTGGGGACAGGGAGGCCGCTGGGAGGACAGGGAGGCCGCTAGGAGGACTGGGAGGACTGGGAGGACAGGGAGGCTGCTGGGAGGACTGGGAGGACAGGGAGGCTGCTGGGAGGACTGGGAGGACAGGGAGGCTGCTGGGGAGGACGGGGAGGCTGCTGGGGAGGACGAGGAGGCTGCTGGGGAGAACGGGGAGGCTGCTGAGAGGACAGGGAGGCTGCTGGGAGAACAGAGAGGCTGCTGGGAGGACAGGGAGGCTGCTGGGAGGACGGGGAGGACAGGGAGGCTGTTGGGAGGACAGGGAGGCTGCTGGGAGGACAAGGAGGCTGCTGGGAGGACGGGGAGGACAGGGAGGCTGCTGGGAGGACAGGGAGGCTGCTGAGAGGACAGGGAGGCTGCTGGGAGGACGGGGAGGCTGCTGAGAGGACGGGGAGGCTGCTGGGAGGACTGGGAGGACGGGGAGGACAGGAAGGCTGCTGGGAGGACAGAGAGGCTGCTGGGAGGACGGGGAGGACAGGGAGGCTGCTGGGAGGACTGAGAGGACGGAGGCTGCTGGGAGGACTGGGGGACAGGGAGGCTGCTGGGAGGACAGGGAGGCTGCTGGGAGGGCAGCAGGGTGAGGAGCGGTGGGCAAGATATACTGCACCGCTGACAGAGTCACCATCAGCTGCCTCCCCTCTCTCACTGTGAAGAAGAACTGAGCGTGCTACCGCCCCGTCAACTGTCCCCCCCCCCCGTCAGGGGACCCCCTGTCCCTCCGTCAACTGACCCCATGTCCCTCCATCAGCTGACCTCTCCTCGCCTCCCCGTCAGGTGATCTACGTGGACCACGAGAACAAGAAGACGACGTTCACCGACCCGCGGCTGGCGTTCGCCGTCGAGGACCAGGAGGGAGGCGAGCGCGGCCTGCGGCAGCGCTTTGACGCCAGCAGCTCGGCGCTGCACGTGCTGCACGGCCGCGACCTGAGCGGCCGCGTGGCGCTCGTCACCGGCGCCAACTCCGGCATCGGTAGGTGCACAGGGGCGAATCTGTGGGTGCCCAGAGGGGAATCTGTGGGTGCACACTGCACAATGCTCACGCGGGAATCTGTGATTGCACAGACGGCGGTGGCCGGCAGGGACGGGACGGGTCGGGACCGTACGGACGGCAGAGACGGCGGGGGGACGCGGCTGTCAGCCGCCCGCCGGCGGCGAGGGCGCTGGTGTACGCCGTACGGTGTGTGCTGCAGAGAGGCCCAACAGGTGGCGGTGAGGTCAGCGAGGGCGCTGGTGTACGGTGTGTGCTGCAGAGAGACCCAACAGGAGGCGGTGAGGTCAGCAAGGGCGCTGTGCTGCAGAGAGGCCCAACAGGTGGCGGTGAGGTCAGCGAGGGCGCTGGTGTACGGTGTGTGCTGCAGAGAGACCCAACAGGAGGCGGTGAGGTCAGCGAGGGCGCTGGTGTACGGTGTGTGGTGCAGAGAGACCCAACAGGAGGCGGTGAGGTCGGGCACCGGCCGTCTGACGCTCTGTCGTGGGTTGTCGGGCCGACTGGTCTGCTTATACCTGGGTCCAGTCGTCTCTCAGCCGCTTTGAAGGGCTCTGTGCTGTGGCTATTCGGTGACGTCTGGTACCGCCACACAGGACTGATCACTGCCGTGTCTGCTGCTGGCGGGCTGGCCGTCACAGCTGAGGACTGAGATCACAGATCAGACAGCTGCCTGGGTGGCCAGTGCCTGTCTGCTCTGCTTTGGTTTTGGTTTGGTCTCGTCAGACCGAAAGAGCCTAACACAACAAAACAAAACAAAGCAAATGTTGTTTGAAAGTAACTTTACCGTTAGCGGGGTATAGTATGGTTAATTGGGCCCTGTTGGATACCTACTGTTAACTATTAACCCTGCCCGTCCCGTGTTTCACTTTCAGAGTACGGCACGGCGCTGTCTGGGCGCTGTTATTAAGTCCTGCCCCCTGTCCCGTGTTCCAGGGTACGAGACGGCGCCGCGTGGGTGCTGTTCACACCGCCCCCCCGTCCCGTGTTTCAGGGCACGAGACGGCGCCGTGTGGGCGCTGTTGTTCACCCTCTGCCCCCCGTCCCGTGTTTCAGGGTACGAGACGGCCCGCTCGCTGGCCTACCACGGCTGTCGCGTGGTGTTCGCCTGTCGAAACCTGGAGAGCGCGCGCGCCGCCATCGAGCAGATCAAGTCTGAGCGGGCCAACAGCGTCTGCGAGCCGCTGCACTGCGACCTGGCCAGCCTGGCCGGCGTGCGGCGGGCGGCCGGCGAGTTCCTCTCCAGACACAGGTCAGTGATAACTCGTCAGGCATCGACTCCGTTCCAGACTCCGCGGCCAGCGCTGTACGGTGTCGGTGTCACAGGGCGGTCCGGTCCCCGTGAGGCGGCGGGGCAGAGTTTTCTCATGGACACGGTATAGACGATTGGTTGTTCTGTTCACTGTGTCGGCTGCCGCGCGAGGAGCTGGGTCTGACCCGTCTGTGCGTGCGGCAGGCACCTGCACATGCTGGTGCTGAACGCCGGCCTGTTCGCGCCGCCGTACGCGCTGACCGAGGACGGCCTGGAGGCGCAGTTTGGCGTCAACCACCTGGGCCACTACTGTCTGACGCGGCTGCTGGAGCCGGCGCTGGCGCGCACTCGCGGCGCGCGCGTCGTCGTCGTCTCGTCCGAGTCACACCGGTGGGTGACGGGGGGGGGGGACCGGGGAGACCGGGGAGAGTCTGTGCCCCGGGACCGGCCTGGGCAGACGGCGGGCGGCGCCCCGGGCTGGAGGTTCCGCGCCCGCGTGGCCCCGACGTGTGTCCAGCACATGGATACTTGAACCTGCATTGTCACATGATTGGACGCTCACGGCGCTCGAAGCGTCATGGTCCGAGCCGACGATATCCCGTATCCCGTATTCTTGCTGAAAAATTTCTTGGTCAGTTGGATACCCTCAGGATGATCTGAGGCTTCTGGCTCTATCTTCAATTTTCATGGAGCTTTCGACATGTACAAATTGTACGTGCATATCATTGATGAATGCATGTACGTGTGAACTGCCGACACTGCCCGCATTTGGACTCGGTAACTGGGTAACCTGAGGGCATACTCGTAGGCGGCGGGACGGGGAGGGCACCGGGGCACCGTGCCCCCTTTGATTTTGGCATTTTAACATAGCCCTATGGGCGTTGCATGGAAAGAGTGGGACCAAAAGTCGGCAGTGTCCCCCCCCCCCTTAATTGAAGGTGTTCCGCCGCTACTGCCTGAGGGAAGATTTGGGTAGCTGGGTAGTGTAGTCTGGTGGTAGACCTGTAAAATTTATAACCTGGGGACATTCTGCACCGTTCACTGATCTGTCTGTGCTGTGATCGTTCGATGCTTTGCTCTATCCAACATAGTGATTGTCGGTTGCAATATCCCTGCATTTTCTGTACGGTGCTATTGAATGGCCACTGTCCGGCTCGTATCCGTTCTCCATCACTACTGCGCGCAGTGGGCCGGCCTGGTCAGATAGGATTCCTGCAGTTCAGGGCCGACCTGGTCAGAACGGGTACCTGCAGTGGCAGGTCCGATCGGATACCTGGCAGGCAGCGCCACCTGGCAGCGGCAGGGCGGCCGCTCCTCCGGCCGTCAGGGGCCGCCGTCCGCTGTCCCCTGTAACAGGGCCGCTGTCTGTTCTGTCCGCTGTCATTGTGACCGCTGTCCCCTGTAACAGGGCCGCTGTCTGTTATGTCCGCTGTCATTGTGACCGCTGTCCTCTCTGTCCATTGTCCTCTGTGACTGCTGTCTGCTGTATTCGCCGTCCTCTGCGACCGCTGTCCTATGTGTCCAGCACGGCTAGTGAGCTGGGTGCTGGGACCGGCTCATACGGACGGGGACCGGCGCGGCGGCGGCGTGCCCCAGTCGCCCCGTATCACCGGTCCCACACTCCGGTGTACCCCAGTGGCCCCGTATCACCGACCCCACACTCCGGCGTCCCCCAGTGACCCCGTATCACCGCCGGCCCACACTCCGGTGTACCCCCAGTCGCCCCGTATCACCGGCCCCACACTCCGGCGTGCCCCGGTGGCCCGCACCGCCGGCCCACACTCCGGTGTACCCCGGTGGCCCGCACCGCCGGCCCCACACTCCGGCGTGCCCCAGTGGCCCGCACCGCCGTCCCACACCCCGCCCGCGCCCACTGCAGCGCCGCACACCTCAGCATACCGGGCGTGATCCATCAGAATCAGCGCTGACACGGCACCGGATGACACGCGGGTGGTCAACCAGCTACATACTTCCCTGTTTGCTGTAAACGCTGCCGCTCATTTTCCAGCACCGCTCGTCGAGATGTCTGTCTTTATAGTTAGTTTGTATTAAAGGGACTATCCCACCTTCTAAAATGTTGTTAAAACCAGTTAAATTGTGCCCGACTTTATAGATTGGATGACCAGGAACACGGTTCTGGCATTTATTTTTCATTAAACATCTTAGGCTTCCCATATTCCAAACACAAACTTTCAAATATGTGACGTCACAGCCCAAAATTACCTCCTTCCCCAGGCCACATTACTGTCATAAAGCTGATTCTTTTTACTCTGTAGGCACCACAACAAAGTTCAGACCAAGTTTTAAGCGATTTTTCAACGAACAAACCCATTTAAATCAGAATGACTAAACGAGGTGACGTCACACTAACGGTCGCTCCATGTTGTAGATAGGGCCTTGTACAAGGCCCATTTTCAAATGAAGGGAACGAATTTCTTCAACACCAAGAGGCCGCGGGGGTTGCAACCTAAATAGATAGTGGTTTCTGAACGTCGCCGCAAACTTGGCTATCTCAACTCAAACCCCATGTTAAAGGTGGGATAGTCCCTTTAAGTGCTGTGCGTTAGTTCCAGCGCCCGCCGCGGGCGCTGGTGGCCGTGTCTCAGTGGGTCGGTCGTGCCGGGGCATTAGCGTCCCGTTGCCAGGGGCGGATCCAGGAAAACTCCAAGGGGAGGGTCATGAATGGAAGTGGTGCCCCTACCTATACCCAAAATTAAAAACTCAACGAACGGATTTCGTCCACTTCATTTTGGTGGTGCCCCCATTTTCAGTTTTTTTTTATTTTTTATTTTTAGTCAGTATCTTAACTCTTAGCCACAACCACATTTACCAATTGTAAGCAAGTATATATGAATGTGCTATGTGTATATATGTTGTGGACGCTGAGTAGTGAGTACTTACCAGGAACGTTATCAGGTAAGCGAATCGTTGTCAGTCCGACGAACTTGACCCTGGCGTCTAAAGGGTCTGTCCTTGACACTTCAGGCTTGTCAGGGGCACCAAAGTCCTTCCAGGGACACCACAAACCTGTCAGGGGCATTTACGGCCTTGTAGGAGCGCCACAGGCCCGCCAGGGGCACCACAAGCCTGCCAGGAAGCAGGGGCACCACAGGTCTAGCACGTATACACGACAGGCCTGTCAGGGGCACAACGGGCCTGTTGGGCCCATGAGCACCCCTAGGGGCAGGGGCACCACAGTCCTTCCAGGGGCACCGCAGGCCTGTGAGGGGCACCAGCGGCCTAGCAGGGGCACCAGTCAACACAGGCCTGCCAGGGGCACCACAGACCTGCCAGGGGTACCAGAGGCCTGCCAGGAGCACCACCGACCTCGCAGGGGTAACTTGGGCCTGTCAGGGGCACCACGGGCCTGTCGAGAGGCACTTCAGGCTTTTCAGGGGCACCATAGTCCTCTCCGGGCGCAGGGGTAGCAGGGGCACCAGAGACCTGCCAGGGGCACCACAGGCCTAGCAAGGGCACCACGGGCCTGTCATGGGCACCTCAGGCCTGTCAGGGCCCAGGGACACCACAGTCCTTCCAGGGGCACCACAAGCCTGTCAGGGGCACCAGAGGCTTAGCAAGGGCACCACAGGCCTGCCAGGGGCACTACAGGCCTAGCAAGGGCACCACTGGTCTATCAGGGGCATCACGAGCCTGTCATAGCCAGGCATCTCAGGCTTGTCAAGGCCCAGGGGCACCACAGGTCTGTGAGGGGCACCAGCGACCTAGCAGGGGCACCAGTCAACACAGGTCTGCCAGGGGCGCCACAGACCTGCCAGGGGCACCGAAGGCCTGCCAGGGACACCAGAGGTCTGCCAGGGGCACCACCGGCCTCGCAGGGGCACCTTGGGCCTGTCAGGGGCACCACAGGCCTGCCAGGGGCACCACAGGCCTAGCAAGGCACCACTGGCCTGTCAGGGGCACCACGAGCCTGTCATGACCGGGCACCTCAGGCCTGTCAGGGCCCAGGGGCACCACAGTCCTTCCAGGGGCATTACAAGCCTGTCAGGGGCACCAGAGGCCTAGCAAGGGCACCACAGGCCTGCCATGGACACCACAGGCCTGCCAGGGGCACCACCGGCATTGCAGGGGCGCCTCAGGCCTGTCAGGGGCACCACGTGCCTGCCGGGGACATTTCAGGCTTGTCAGGGGCGTTACAGTCCTGTCAGGGCCCAGGGACACCAGGCCCGTGGTGTCCCTGCTAGGCCTGTGGTGCCCCTGGCGGTCCTGTGGTGCCCCTGTCAGGACTGTGATACCCCTGATAGGCCGGTGGTGCCCCTGGCAGGTCTTTGGGCCCCCGGGCCTCAAGGGGGGGGGGGCCATGACCCATGTGACCCCCCCCCCCTTGTATCCGCCACTGCCCGGTGCCGAGGCCGTCTGATCGCGGCGCCTGTCCCGGACGGACGGTGTTGCGGCGCGGTGCGGCAGGTGTGCGCAATGCACCATATACCACCGCGTGCTGCGAAACGTTTTAGTAAAATATTCAAAAATCGTTAGATCTGCGCTGACGTCACACATTCAGAGAGGGCATTCTAATGCATTAGCCCATCTGAATCCAAGTGCTGCAACTTTGGATCAAATATTTTCGATTTAAAGCATTTATCGATGGTGTGACTACCCAAACCGGTTATTGCAGGCCAGGTACCCCAATTTGGCTATCTCAACTCAAAATTAATGTTAAGGCTGGATGGCCACTTTAATGCTGGACGATGCTGTGCTTCCGGTACAGTTTTTCTTTCGGAGCCTTTCCTAGCCTAACTGTCAACTGACATGCCTCCTGAGTCCTGACTGACGCCAGAATTTCCGTTCCCGCCTGCCGGGCCCGAGACGCGCCAGAGGCGCGCTAGTTTCCCGGCTGCAGTCCCGGAGGATAGGTACTGCACGGGCCGCGAATGTTCCTGCAATGTAGTCTGTTGTTTGCTTTCACTAGTCATTTGGAGTAGTCTGCTTTCCACTGGGCTCGCTACGATTATATAATAGGTTAATGCAACAGCTGCCCAACCTAGCGTTACATAATACCTCGTCAGGCGCCCCATGATTTGGTCGGTTCAGTAGGTACATTTTCATTAATTGTTTTTGTTGTTGTTATAATGGCCGCCCTGTGTTTGATGTAAGTTGTTACGGCCTCGCTTGCCATACCTCTTGGACACCAACGGATGGTGATCGGATACCGACTTTTTGGTACCTATACCGATATTAAACCGTTTTCAATTTGGTACAAGTGGTGTTTGTGGTATTTGAAATTTGAAAAACTCGTATGTGGTATTTGAAATTCAATGCATTTGGTATTTTGCTGGTAATGTGAAGCCTCGTCATTGCATAAGATGCTATGAATTTGGTAAATTATGGGTGTTTCTATCAACCTTACAGGCTTGGTTTTCGGTATTTAGTTATTGTTTTGCCGGTTTTTAATTAGGTATCGGTTTCAAAATTTTTCTGTCATTGACGCCTCGCTGAGACCTCGTCTCGTGCCGCGTTCCAGGCTGTCTCGCCTCTCGGCCGAGGACTTTACTCTGGAGAAGCTCTCCCGTCCCGCCGACAAATACACGGGCATCGTGGCCTACAACGACTCGAAGCTGTGCAACAACCTGTTTGCCGCCGAGCTGCACAGACGCTGGCGGCCCAAAGGTGCGTGCTGGGGGTGTGCGTCCACCGCCCCCCAGACGGGGTGGGGGCGGCCCAAAGGTGCGTGCTGGGGGCGTGCGTCCACCAACAGCCGCCGACGGGAGCTGGGTGGAGGGAACACAGAGCCGTGCGTACCGCGTCCGCTAGCAGCTGCTGACTGGACCGATACTGCGCCGACACGGCTGTCACCGAGCTCGCCTATCGCGGCCCCCGAGAGCCATCAGCGGCGCTGTGTTTTGACAATAAATACGCCAGCGCGGTGATGTGATCGATGCCAATCTGTATGAGTTATGTGGCTGTGAAGCCGTTCCCACCGGGCGGGATCAGTCCGGTCACGGCGGAGGTCCGTCAGCTGGCTGCAGACGGGCCATATGTGGCCGGCCAGTGTCTGACTGGTTTGTTTTATAGCCGTCTGTGCTGGGACGGGATGGCGTGGCGTCGCACCCTGTGACCTGCCCACGGCCGCCTCCACAACACCCCCCACCCCGCCCCCACCCCAGGTGTGACGGTGAGCTGCCTCCACCCCAGGTGTGACGGTGAGCCGCCCCCGCCCCCAGGTGTGACGGTGAGCTGCGTCCACCCGGGGAACATGGTGAGCAGCTCACTCAGCCGCCACTGGTGGCTCTGGCGGCTGCTCTTCGCCGCCGTGCGGCCCTTCACCAAGTCGCTGGTGAGTTGCCATGGCAACCGGGGTGTGGGCTGGGGAGGGGGGCCCATTCGGTAGGTGCGATGTGCTTCCGTCGAGCAATTTGCCTATTATCGAGCGGCTCTCAAATGTTGAAACACGCGGATTTGCCATTTGATCTAACCAGACATCGAGGCTGGAGCCTGCTGTCCCCCTACTTTTTTATTGCAAGATGACATTTCTTGATAAAACGACTTGTGCGCCACCTGCACCTGGAGCGACGTGCGTCCCTCTCACGACACGCGGGTGTTGCCCCTCTCTGTGAGCTATGACCCGACCGGTGATCTACCCTGTTTTCCGTCCAGTGCCTCTGACCTGTGCCGCGGTCGGTGTGCTGACCTGTGACCTGTGACCTGTGCCCTGGCGGCAGTGCCCTGACCTGCGCCCGGCGCCCTCCGACAGCAGCAGGCGGCCAGCACCAGTGTGTACGCGGCCACGGCGCCCGAGCTGGACGGCCTGGGCGGCCTCTACTTCAACAACTGCTGCGCGTGCCCGGTGTCGGCGGCCGCCGCCGACCCGGAGCGGGCGCGCCGTCTCTGGACGCTCAGCGAGGCGCTCATCGCCGAGCGGCTGGGCGCCGAGGCGCTCCGGCCGCCAGAGCCCGGCGGCGCACAGACTCCGGCGCCGACGGCCCAGGGCGAGCCGCAGCCGCTCTGAGGGAGCCCAGCGAGCCCCAGCCGCTCTGAGGGAGCCCAGCGAGCCCCAGCCGCCGGCTCTGAGGGAGCCCAGCGAGCCGCAGCGGCTCTGAGGGAGCCCCCAGCCGCTCTGAGGGAGCCCAGCGGGCCCCAGCCGCTCTGAGGGAGCCCAGCGAGTCCCAGCCGCTCTGAGGCGAGTGCTGCCGCCGGCGCGGCCACAGCTTACCTGCGCATACAGACACGCCGACACACACGCATACATACCGTCCACACGTCCAACCGGACCCCTTCACTGACGAGTACACTGCAGACGCCACCGCACAGGGGCTGGTGTAGATGCCATACCTCCCTGCCGCACATACATACGGCAGAATTTAAATCAAAACAGTCTCTAACAGAGACTGCATATTTCGCACACTTGGGTGTGAGCTTTTCGTAAACCAGAGTTCGTGCTTACACTTTACACTTCGCCCTAAAGTCAGCTTCTTGAATTCCTCACCGAATGACTTAGCGGTGGGTGAGTTCATTTAACAAATAAGCCGGCGGCTCAAACAAGTTGTGGAGCTGCATTTGACAGGAACATATTGATTTTGCAATCATGCCCACACACCGGCATTTCTCTGAACAGCGGTACACAAAACTAGGAAAAGCATACATTGGCGCAGGCCCAGCGCCTCACGGACCCTCGGGCACACACAGACACACAGACATCCAGATCACGCTCGTCCTGGTAAGCTGAGGGACACTGGTATTCTGAGGGACAGGGGACACACTGGTAGGCTGAGGGACAGCGGACACTGGTATTCTGAGGGACAGGGGACACACTGGTAGACTGAGGGACAGGGGACACAATGGTATTCTGAGGGACAGGGGACACACTGGTATTCTGAGTGGCAGGGAACACACTGGTATTCTGAGGGACAGGGGTCACACTGGTAGGCTGAGGGACAGCGGACACTGGTATTCTGTGGGACAGGGGACACACTGGTAGGCTGAGGGACAGCGGACACTGGTATTCTGTGGGACAGGGGACACACTGGTAGGCTGAGGGACAGCGGACACTGGTATTCTGTGGGACAGGGGACACACTGGTAGGCTGAGGGACAGCGGACACTGGTATTCTGAGGGACAGGGGACTCACAGACACACTCCCGACCGGACCAAGTGCCCCCGTGCGCTGTTTGTACAACTGCTACCGCGGCTTCTAAGTAGTGTCGACGTAGTGCCTCGGTAGAACCTAGCTAGCGTGCAGTGCCAGTGCTGTGTTGGAGCGGCCGCGGGACCGCCGGCTGTGAGCCGTGTGGTTGGTGCTGGCTTAAGCTGTCTGAGACCGCAGTCCGGGACGGCCGTCTTCTGCGGCCGGTCCTATGAACTCCCAGCCTACTGTGGGGGCTGGGACCTCGGCCCTGTGGGGGCTGGGACCTCGGCCCTGTGGGGGCTGGGACCCCGGCCCTGTGAATGTGCGAGCCCTGACCATAGTCACAGAGCTCGAGGTGACCCTGTCTGGTGGGGCTGGACCTGCCGCCGGCCAGACCGCGCGTAAGATACCCGCCCACACAGTGTAACTGTAGCCAGTATTCATTGTCAGCTTTACGGGTGGCTCGGTGTGCATACCAGCTTATCAGTTAAAGTGCAATACAGTATCAGTTCGTCAATGGAACCAGTAGCTCCGACCGCGCTGAAGCATCTGTGGGCCTGCGGCCAAAATGCTGACCAGAAGCCGCTGCATATTGTTTATCCTAAATAAGCTGCATATCAATTTATCACTGAGCTGCAGGTGGTTGTTTTCAGTCCGAAGTAAGTGGTCATCCATGCTGCCCGGTAGTATTCCGTGTTCCACATTAGCCATGTGTACCTGACCGGCAGCCGCGAGCTGGTTACTGGGGTGACTCAGAGAGGCGCGGAATTTCTCCGACCCGAGGAACAACATCGGGCTCCCAGACTGTCTCATCTCCCGGGGGGGGGGGGGGGGGCTGTCAGAGTGAACCCGTCTGTCTGCCCCCGGCGGGGGCGGGGGAGGGGGTTCTGAGTCAGCCCTCACTGTCCGCGCAGTCAGCGGCAGAAACAAACCGCCAGCAGCCCGGCCGGTCCGCTCCGCGGCTCAGTTCTCAGAGCGGGAGCGGGGTCCAGGGCGGGCCCTCGGCACACCGCCGCGTTGGGACCGCGGCCTTTGGCTGCGGGGCTGCCTGAACGGGCGCCACGCGGTAAAGCTGGGCCACTTATACGTTTGTGTGTTTTTGCACCACACAACTGAAGCCATAGCGAGCTGGAGCGCGCATGACACGGGTCTGGAAGTCATAGGTGGCGACTGAATGGTTCAACGCCACCACTCACTTTTGGAGGATGATGTGTACTGCGCAACTTTGTGGCATTGTGGTGTGCTAGCCATAAGACTAATAACTACTGCGCCGATTATATACCTATTAATGTTTTTTATTGTGCTTATGTACTGGGATGTCCGTCCAATGTGAAATACACGAGGCGACCGAATATCTTCCGTGTTATCTGCTCCCGTCATGTTTGACATTGTTTCTTGTGCGCATTGAACCCCTACAGCACTCAGGCATCACTTAGCTACCTGTGCTGAGAATGTCTGCAGAATTACTTGGCTATCTGTGGCCACTTTGCTCACTGGTGCCTCGTTTGGGCGTAACGAAAATACTGAGAAACTATTGCACCTATTCAACCCCTGCGGTGGCCGCATGGCGGGCGGTCACTGGTCTGTCCGCTGTGACCAGTCACTGGTCTACGTTCGGTACCGCTGCGCTGACGGGAGGCCGGGGTCCCGGGTCCAGTACTCTGGGTCCGGTCGGGAGGGTCTGTCGCGGTTTGGTGGCAAGTACTGACAGTACGGCCGGCTGTGAAGGGGCTCTGTGTGTCTGTCCCCGGCAAGGGGCCGGCAGTACGCGCCGGCTGTGGGAGACCAGTCCAGTCTGGTCTGGTCTGGTCTGGTCTGTGCTCGGCTGTGGGGACTCCACTCCAGTCTGGTCTGGTCTGTGGCAGAACCCAGTCTGAACTGGTCTGGTCTCGGCTGTGGGAGACCAGTCCAGTCTGATCTGGTCTGTGTTGCGGGTGGGACTCGGTATGCACTGAAAACAATTTAATCCAAGGCCGGCGAGTAAACCGGTGTTTCAAGGGTACCCCCATCCGCAACCATTTTTAACCACCCTCCCAGGAGTAGTGCTAGCCGCTAGGTCCCATTGCGGTGTAGTCGTACTTGCTCAGAGCGGATATAACCGCTGTCAGCGAACATGTCCGCTGAGAGCAGGGACGACTACACTGCAATGGGACCTTACTGTACTCCTGGGAGGGTGGTTAGAAATGGTTGCGGATGGGGGTACCCGCGAAACACCGGTTTACTCGCCGGCCTTGGGTTGAATTGTTTTCAGTGTGTGTTTGACCTGGCGCTGCGCTCACTGGCCAGACTCCCAGCGGGCCCCGGCCGGCGGCTGGTGTGGGGCGCTTGGCCCGGCTCTGCGCAGAGATGCCCGCTCCACCAGTCGCACAGTTCAGGTATTTTGTATCGGTGTGTTGTCGATCAGACCCCGTCCCGCTGCGCTGTTAACCCGGCGTACCCGCCTGTGGGGCTCCGTCTGGCACGGCTGAGGGGCCGTGAATCACCCTCCGACTGCGGTAACTCGGGTGTATGTACAGGTACGGCAGGTGCGGACAGTTTGGGCCCCCTCCCCATCCTTCTGGCAGGAGGGGGTCGGCGCGACCGGCGACAACCGTCCGTCTGGGGATATATAATGCCCGGAGTGGGCCATTGTGGGCGAACACGGGTATAAACGTATTCAGAGTGGGCTGCATGGTCGGCAATTGCGTGGAGGATTACACGATGATCTATAAGGAAGGATCTTGATCTCGGATCCGACGAGATCGTAGATTCAACTCTTATTTGTCGAGAAATCCATTGGGATCATAAGAATGACTTTTTTTTTGCCTAGAGATCCAAGAAGATCGTATATCCTTACCTAATTTTGTCGATATAGAAACCCTCGAGGAACACATTTTGTAGTTCGCAAAAGTGCTGTTTTAGGGATCTTATGCGACCACACGTCTCACTTTATATTTTTATGGCACTTATTGACATGGAGCGACTTGGAAACATGGTTTCACTAGTTACGTGTGGCAGTACCTATCCACTCGGATCATGATGCTTGTAATGTTTATGGTTTATCGTGAGATCTTACCGTGCTCTGTGAGAGGGGTGCACCGTCCTCTGCAGTGCCGGAGGGGCCGCCCTGTGAGAGGGCTATACCGTCCTCTGCGGGGATGGCCGCCCTGTGAGAGGGCTATACCGTCCTCTGCGGGGATGACCGCGCTATGAGAGAGTATATCGTCCCTCCCCGGGGGTTATCGGACCGCGCTGCGCCAAACCCTGGACCATGTCACGGCTCTCTCGGCCGTCAACAGCGCGTCAGCCGTATCGGCGAGTGTATCGGCATTGGTCGGGCTTCACACCTGTAATTGCCGGTCCCAGATAACGGATGACGGGGGTGACCGCTGCTGTTGGATAGGATCAGCGATATAGTGCGGCTCTGCAGCGCCCCGTATCCCCCTCCCGCTGCAGACATCGCGGGCGGGGACTATATACAGGGTGTCTCAAAAGTTCGTTCACACATTTCCCATGCCAATAAAGCATATAAGAACCGGCCAAAAGTATAAGGTTTTGGTGTCTGTGTGTACACCAGACAAATATGCATGCTTTGACAACTGATTAAGAAGGTTGGAAACCAACCCCTTTGCTGTATCTCCAAAAATATTTGCTCACACCGATTTTTGTTGCTCCGTCAGCTGCCGGAGGCTGATAAAAGGTTACCAGCTTTCAAGCTCTTGCAGGGGAATCCCCTGCAGTTTCTGCGTCGGATTTAGTTTTGACTAGCTCCCCGGCAACATCTGATTTTCCCTGAAAGCCGACAGCTTGCATCGACACCATTCTTGAGTATTTTGTAGGCATTCTCTGGCGCTAACTCCTTCATGAATGACTGGCGCCGACATCCCAAGCGCCATTTTCCTTTTCAAAACGACCCCAGTCCTGAACAAACGGGAAGTGCCAGGAGTAAATTTTTCGCATCATATGGTAGCAGAATGTGTCGGACGTCTGTTTCTCAGACACATTGTGCAAATTTTGCAAATTCCAAGCGCTCGTCATTCCCCATGCCAAGACCTTCGCTCGGTTGCGGAGTGTTTTCCTCGGGAGATGTTCTGCTTTGTAAACGGCCCAAACCAGTCCATCGTGTGGTTTTATCGGGATTTTGTGTTTAAAAGAAAATTATTCGCTGCAGATCTGCCTCTTAAAACTTCGTTAGATAAAATTTTACAATAACTGACACTTTTGGAGGGTCAGGTGTCCTTGGCATTGACAATTTTTGTGTTATTGTCCCCAAAAATTAGCGTTACAGATATTATAAACAATTTTAAATTATAATTTGTCTTTATTTTACGATGACCTGCACTTTTTGAAAATGGGTAACCTCTGTCTGTGACCTTCTTGCCAGTTTTCAATAGTTATGACCGCATTTTCAGCTGCTTTCCGGAACACGAGTCTGCTGTCGTGCGAGGGTCGTTCAAAATGCCGTTAGTCTCGCATGGTTTCGTCCTTCAAAAATTTTAGCCACCGTTTTTATGAGATGATCATCATGTTGCACTCATCCTCGCCGACACTTAGCCATGTGTCATTTCCGACTTAACCATTCCCATTACTCCTGAAACAGAGAGTTTCACAACATACCCGACTTTGCAACCTACATTTTCGTGCCTGACCCATGGTCAGAGGTGAACCCTTTTTGTGAGCTCATGAAGGGTCGAATGCACTTGAAAACAATGAGACTGCTTGAGGAAGGTTGTCACCAATGCCCATGCAAAATTTCGACTGTTAATTTCTTGTTGATTCAGAATTATTGACAAAAAAGCATGGCTGGTACCTGTGAACGAACTTTTGAGACACCCTGTACTCGTGTGTGCAGTGGTAACCGCTCGCAGGCTTAGATTGGTTTCAGTCACCTAGTTTATAGCCTCACTGCCAATGTACCAGTGTGACACTGGTACATTCTTGAGCATATGTTTGTGAACTCCCTTAAACCAAATCATTAGTTCTCCTTCGCCTTGGTTCGGTCGCCACAGACGTCTCTTTCGTCTGTGGTTACCATTGATTGGCTGCATCACTGCCGAGCTCCCAGTCAGATGGCCGGGTAAAGTTCATCGATAGTTCGGTAGTAAATATACGAAGACAATGCATGTACAAACATTCCAATAGCTGTCGTGTTTCAAATGTTCTTCGTCCGCCACACCTGGGCCGCCCGGCCAGCTGCAGACATTCACAGGGTGACGCTGTCAGCGGCAGTGTGTGTGTAGGTAGGTCGGACGGGTCGAGTTTCTGTGTATTTTTCCGGCGCCGGCCGCAGACTGAGTGGCGACAGGGCGGTGACTGCGCAGTTCCTGAAGGCCACTCTGCAGAGGTCAGCCCCCCTCCCCCCCACTCCCACTCCACCGCGGGGGTGTCGGGAGGGAGGATACGGTCACGGTGTTCTCGTAGGCGTCACCGAGCCGAGAGTATGACGAGGTGGTGCATGAACTTTTATTAATCCGGGCCGAACGTTTGTGGGTACTATGCTCGGTAAGTTGCGCCGTTCGGCCCAGGACGTTTCTGGCCGTTGAAGACACACAGGTCAGCCGTGGCTGCCAATGTGCGCGCCTATTGAACTACTGTATGTACGGGCCGAGGACGCGGCCGCGCTGGAACAGCCGGTGACTCGCTGTTGCCGTCAGACTCGACCCGCCCAAAACAGCGAGACACGGTTCCAGGCGTGTATTTCCGGATCTTTTAAATTAGACACGGTCTGAGAACATCGTCGCATTGGGATGCACTCGCCAAATTAAGCAGCGACGGCGGCTGGTCGAAACAGTGAGTTTCCCATTTATCACACTTTGTGTGTGACACACGGACATATCCCTACAATCTGGGAGTAGCAGGACTATTGGGTAGTGTCCCAGCACAGGTGACCGCGCGCGCCGACCTGCCAGCAGGAGATGTCTCGGCACGGCCCCACCGCCAGCGGCGTCACACACATAACCGGCACGTCACCTGGTACCACCAGCGCCGGCTCATTTGCAGCTACCGGTGCAGTTGGCTCGATCACAGAACAGACCCCGGCGCCTCGGTCACTGACAGGCACCAGCGGCAGCGCCCCAGTCACAGAACAGTCACCGGCGCCTCAGTCATTGAATAGACGCCGGCTCCTCACCCACAAAACAGACGCCGGTGCCCCAGTCACAGAAACGCACCAGCGCCTCAGTCACTGACAGACACCAGCGCCTCAGTCACAGAACAGCCGCCGGCGCATCAATCACAGAACAGACACCAGCACCTTAGTCACAGACAGGCACCAGTGCATCAATCACAGAACAGTCACCGGCGCCTCAGTCACAGAATAGACGCCGGCGCATCATTCACAGAACAGACGCCTCAGTCACAGAACAGACGCCTCGCTGGAGACTCGCCGGTCACAGCCGGCGGGTCGTCGGATTCAGAACTGATTCACGCCTGCCTCCGGTTCACAGTTCTGTCACACGCACACCAGCGCCGTACCAAGGAGTCGGTCACAGCATCCCAGACACATTCGTCCGTCTACACTTGTCAGTACGTGCATACGCTCGGCAGCTTATGCATCAGGTGCTTCAACGGAGGTCGGAGAAGCGAGCGGAGCACGTGTTCGAGGCCCGGGACCCAGCGGCCGTCAGGATCGCAAGCCCCAGCGGCACCCGAGCCAAAGCATATCCACCGCTCGTCAGAGCAGACCCGTGTCTGCAGGCTCAGCGGGGCCAGCCTCAGTGCCTGCAGACTGCACTGGACCAGCGCCGGCTCCTGTCGGGTTCTGGACCCGGTGTTGTGCCTGCCACCCACACGTTCGGCAGTCCCGAGCTGTCTGTAGGGGCGGACCACCCAACACCCTCCGCTCAAGTTTGACTGCTCCGACAGCTGCTGTTTGTTTGTGCGCCGTTTGTTCGGTTACTGCTGTGAATTTCTGTGGTAAAATAGCAATCAACAAGTGATGCATTTTCCGTGAACGGTGCGACGCTCCTTTTGTTCTCATCAGCCGGCCACATGTCTGTGTCAGCCGAACGGGCGCGGGAGGGCAGCCCCAGGCCAGGTCTGGGGAAGGGCAGCTCCGTAAGCCAGGTCTGGGGAAGGGCAGCTCCGTAAGCCAGGTCTGGGGAAGGCTGGCCGCCGCGGGCTCACGGAAGGACCGGTTCGTGTGGATCGAGCACGCCCACGGCCCAGTGGCGTCGCGTGTCGAGCGGAGCCACTGGCTGTCAAAACACGGCGCCTCGCCGGTCGGCTTTGAACTGGCCGGCTCCTGGCCACAGTGTGCCGGCCTCTGACACAGTGTGCCGGCTCCTGGCCACAGTGTGCCGGCCTCTGGCCACAGTGTGCCGGCCTCTGACACAGTGTGCCGGCCTCTGACACAGTGAGCCGGCTCTGACACTGTGAGCCGGCTCTGACACTGTGTGCCGGCCTCTGACACAGTGTGCGACCTCTGACACTGTGTGCCGGCCTCTGACACAGTGTGCCGGCCTCTGACACCGTGTGCCGGCCTCTGACACCGTGTGCCGGCCTCTGACACAGTGTGCCGGCCTCTGACACAGTCTGCGGCCTCTGACACTGTGAGCCGGTCTCTGACACAGTGTGCTGGCCCCTGACACAGTCTGCGGCCTCTGACACAGTGTGCCGGCCTCTGTCACTGTGTGCCGGCCTCTGACACAGTGTGCCGGCCTCTGACACAGTGTGCCGGCCTCTGACACAGTCTGCGGCCTCTGACCACAGTGAGCCGGCCTCTGGCCACTGCACGGTGACAGGGTTGCCGGTTGTGTCCCTCCCTGTCCGGCGGCGCTCGCTCAGCTCCCAGTCGCTCGCTCAGCTCCCATTCGCTCGCTCAGCTCCCAGCTCAGTGCTCACTACTAACAGCTCAGTCTGCTGCTCAGCTGCACCCGGATGGCTGGCGCTGACCGGACCAGGCACAGTCAGCGCAGAAGGCACTGCAGCCAGCCCAGAAGTCACCGCAGTCAGTGCAGAAGGCACTGCAGTCAGCGCAGACGGCCGGACCGGGTGTCGGGCATGTCAGGCAGAAGGCCACCGGCCGGCCCAGACGGGCGGCTCCCAGCAACAGCCGGCCGGCGACCGGCGAGCTGCAAAGCCCCGTGCACAGCTCGGCTGAGGGCCGGACGACCCTTGTGCACGGAGCCGGGGGGCCCCGTGTGTGGAACTCGGTGCATTTGTCTGTTGCCAGGCTGACAACAATTGGGTAAAATTGAACGAGTTTCGCTATAAATAACCAGAAGGAGGATCGTTATTGGTGTAAAAGAAAGGCGGTGCAGATATTACCGTGGCCGGATTAATTTCATACGCCAGTCGTATTGATGTGAGCTGAGGGCCGGTGGATGTTCGAATGATATCCTGTGCACACAGCACATTGCACGATCATTGTTAAACACTTGTATTGGTTTCTTGGTAATGAGCTAATGAATGAACAGCTAATTTAGATGTAACATACATAAATAAATGCGAAGTAAACGCCCCTATCGCAGATTGAAGGTCAAGACGGAAGTGTCAGCCGCGCCCCTCCCGGCCGGCGCCGCCTCTTCCGGGTCCGCGCCGCGCTCAGTGTCGTCCACGGCACGCCCACCCACTCAACTGTCCCCGTCACTGTCCATGGGCGGCGGCCGGACCGGTGCACCGCGTGCATTTTAATGAGCCGGTCACTGTAGTCGGGTGGGGGGGGGGGGGGTCCGGGGGACGGGCGACCGAGGGACGGGGCCGCCCACTGCAGGCCGTAGACGTCTGCTCTGCGGAGCACTGTCTGCTCACTGCAGCTGAGACTGGGACAGGGGCTGAGACTGGGACTGGGACTGAGACTGAGGCTGAGACTGAGACTGGGACTGGGCTGTGTCGGGTGGGACGCGGAGCTGGAAATCGAGACATGGAGCCGCCCGGTGCGGCCGGATGTGCTGAGAGCAGCCCTGCACGCTGCAGGCGGCAGGCCCCAGCCACCGTGGGACCGGGCTGGGCGGACCCGTCTCCCGTACCCCGGCCTGTGATCCTGACGGCTACACTCGGCCCGCTGCGGCCCGGCCCGCCGGCTCTCCCCTCTCTCTCTCTCTCTCTCTCTCTCTCTCTCTCTCTCTCTCTCTCTCTCTCTCTCTCTCTCTCTCTCTCTCTCTCTCTCTCCCCCCCCGCTAGTGGATGCGTCCCGAACAGCGGCAGGTGGCGCGGCAGGAGCGCGCCGGCTCGCCGCCGGAGCCGCACGTCCAGTGCCGGTGCCGGCGCTCCAGGTCGGCGCAGTTGCTCCACCGGTCCGACCAGGGACACGCGTTGGTGCACAGCCGCTTCTTGTTGTTGCAGGAGCGGCGGCACCGGCCGCACGGCCGGCCGGCGTCGTACGGACGGCCCAGACGGTGGCCGTAGTTGCCGCTGCCGGGCAGCCAGGCGGGGAGCGAAAATCAGCACCGCAGGAAGGGCTGTCTGTGGAGGTATCCTGAGCGATGTCATGTAATGACTGCATTGCCGTGATGTCACGGTCTCCATTTTCTGTGATTTACCACGGCAGTCACTGTCAGAGCGGACCGCTGCGGTGCCTTATATGCCTAACGAGCGACAATGGGCAGCGGGAGACAGCTGCGAGCGGCCGCTGGCGTCCCGGCGACTCGCACACGGAGCGACTCACAGGAGGCAGTAGAGGGGCACTGGGCGACCGGGGCAGTGGTGGGCACTGGGTAATTCACAGGAGGCAGTAGAGGGGTACTGGGCGACTCACATGGGGCGTTGGTGGGGCACTGGGCGACTCCCACAGGGCAGTGGTGGGGTACCAGGCGTTGGGCCAGTGTTGGGCACTCGGCGACTCTCACGGGGCGTTGGTGGGGTACCAGGCGACGGGCCAGTGTTGGGCACTGGGCGACTCACATGGGACAGTAGTGGCAGACGTAGTTGTAGTAGGGCACTGGCTGGGCGTGCTTGCAGTGCGCCCAGCCGCAGCCGACCTTGTGCGAGGCGTACCACACCATCTGCGTGTAGTGGCCCACCTCGAACAGGCTGTTGTTGGCGGCGCCGTACCGGAACACGTCCCTCTCCAGGAACCAGCTCTTCATGGCGAAGTACCTGCCGCGCGAGGGGCCGTCAGTGGGGGCGGCGCCGGCCGTCAGCGGCTGCTTCCCCAGCCGGAGACGACATTTGACCATGGTGTGGTAGAAGCTACTGGTGAGCAAGGAACGGTGCACGCCGGCATACAGTTTTTGAACATTGTGTAGCGCGCCCACTTACCGGGGACTTTGTGTTCCACTCACCAGGGCACCTTGTGCGTGGAGACGAAGATGTTCTCTCCGCAGACACCCAGGTTGCGCTGCGAGCGCTGCGTCTCGTTGGAGTGGATCAGCATTTGACATTTGTTGGCCCAGCGCTGCGCGTCCCTAGCGGCGCCGGCGTGCCAGTGCTGGGGACCACCGGGTCACAGGTCAGCTCAGGGGGACCCGTACGGTGAAATGGTAGTTCATGATGACACCACTGACAATTATAACTGCTGTGGGATCATGATGGCGAGATGGGATTTTCCCGTTTTCTTGGAACAGGCGTCTGAAATGCGTTTGATGTGTGGGCGGCGCCACCGTGGGGCAGTGCAGGTATGTAGTCTGCCCCCGCAGGGCCTCGGATAACGTGGTGTGACTAAATACCCTCACCATGACGAAGTTGGCTGAGACCCCACCGGGACGTGGGTTCAATTTTACCCTCTAAGTCCCGTGATAAATTATAAATACCAGCCTAGACAAGGCCTCCGCTGTGCCACCAATGTCGTCATCATGCCACCTCCACACGGCGTGCGCTACAAAAGCCGCCACTGCACCCGATGTGCCAACGTCCGCCAAAGAGTTGTCCGGTAACCGTTTGCGGCGTTTTGCGCTCTCAGCAGGTTCGGACGCCTTGCCGCCGGGGCTGTCCAGCTACTATGGCGTAACGGCGGCGCGGCGGGACATTCACGGATGAGTCTCAGCGGCACAATGTGGCCGCGGCCCGATCGGCCTAGTGCAGAATACTGCCACATTCAGCTGCGTCACGATTGCCGCCGGTGCGCTGCGCTCGTCGCCGGCTCGCCGCCGTCCACTCGGCTTCCCTCCTAGGCCCGCTCAGCAGGCGGAGTCCATTCAGCGCCCGGAGAGCCGGTGTAGCGGGCTGGAAAGGCCCGCCCGTGATCCGCCGGTCAGGCGTCAGAGAGGCTCGCCGGCCGGCACGGCGCGCTATAACTCGAAGAGTTGGTGGGGTTGAGCGATTCCAGATGGAGTGCTCCGTTAGAAAAAAATGTGATTCGACCGATTCGCGATGGTATTACACTGAAGCACTCGACTGCTTCAATATATGTATGAGACAAATATTTCAAATCGATTTGGTCAGGATTGTTTCTATTTATATCGGCCGTCCGCCGGCGACTGCTGGGGCGCCGCTCGTCACCTCTGTAGTCTGTGCCGGGGGGGGGGGGGGGGGCGCTGCTCGTCACCTCTGTAGTCTGTGTCGGGGGGGGGGACGCCGCTCGTCACCCCTGTACTCTGTAGTCTGTGCCGGGGGGGGGGGTGCCGCTCGTCACCTCTGTAGTCTGTGCCGGGGGGAGGCGCTCGTCACCTCTGTAGTCTGTGCGGGGGGCGCCGCTCGTCACCTCTGTAGTCTGTGCCGGGGGGGGGGGGGGGCGCCGCTCGTCACCCCTGAAGTCTGTGCCGCTGGAACTCGGCACAAGACGCCGCCCAGCGGGCCTCACGCAGCTCAGAGGCGGTTCGCCAGGTCCCGGGGAGGCCCTCTGCTCGCCAGGCTGTGTCAGCCGCTTTGCCGCTGTGTCAGTGTGCGGTGTACTCGGTCCGTCCGTTGTGTGCGGTCTACCCGGTCCGCTGTGTGCGGTCTACCCGGTCCGCTGTGTGCGATCTGTCGTCTGCCCAGCCCCCTGTGTGCGGTGTACTCGGTCCGCTGTGTGCGGTCTGCCGTCTGCCCGGCCCCCTGTGTGCGGTCTGCCGTCTGTCCGGCCCCCTGTGTCAGTGTGCGCCGTGCGGTCTACCCGGTCCGCTGTGTGCGATCTACCCGGTCCCCTGCTGTCGGTCCCCCCCCCCCCGTGTGCGGTCTGCCCGGGGTCCGCTGTGTCGGCCGCTTTGCCGTCGTGTCGGTGTGCAGTTGATGTCGCATTAGCATGCAGTAGCCGCTCGGGGCGGTGCTGGGTAAACATAGCGGTGGTCAGGTGGCTGTAAGCGATACATCAACACAGTCCGCTCGCTGGCGGTGACAGGTGGGCATGCAGAACACTCGGCGGCGGCCTGTTTAGTCTGCCGCGACCACCGGTCTGGATCGAGCTCCGGGGGAGGGGGGGGGGATCAGAGGGCGGTGCGGACCCAGCTCGGGTGTGGGGAATGGGGAGCTAGCTCGGAGGGGGCAGTGCGGATTCTAACTCGGAGGGGGCAGTGCGGATTTTTACTCTGAGGGGTAGTGCGGAGTGTGGATTCTACCTTGGAGGATACTGTGGATTCTTACTCGGAGGGTAGTGCGGACCAAGTGGACTGTGGACTGAGATTCTAAGTTGTAGAGAGCGCGGCGGTCTGGATCTAGCTCGGAGTGGTAGGTAGTGCGGATGTGGATTATAACTCGGACAGGGCGGTGCGGATTGTAACTCGGAGGGGGCGGCCTGGATCTAGCTCGGAGGGGTAGTGTGGATTATAACTCGGACAGGGCGGTGCGGATTGTAACTCGGAGGGGGCGGCCTGGATCTAGCTCGGAGGGGTAGTGTGGATTATAACTCGGACAGGGCGGTGCGGATTGTAACTCGGAGGGAGTGGCCTGGATCTAGCTCGGTGACGGCGGCGGACGTCCCGCAGACGATGGCCGCGGTATGGAGACTCACCATGCGCAGCATGTTGGCCGCCCGCGGCTTCACGCGGCTGCGGAACCGGTTGTGGTAGTGGGTGATCTTGCGCCGCACCTTGGGGAAGCTGACGTCGAGCAGGTGCTCGCCCACGTCGTTACCGTAAAACCGCGGACCTGAAAGACACCGGCCAGCGGCAGGGGGCTCATGTAGCTGCGGGCCGAATAGGCAGCAGGGCACAGCCCACAGGGCCCTCCCCGATGTAACATCGTGACATTAACGATGCATTCCTACACAGAACATGGAATTGGAGCGGAGACATTTGGCATATGGTCGTTCGGTTTGCTTATTTGGCACCTTTGGTTTCCATTAAAATGATCAAAATAAGTATTAAACTTGTTTTAATTCTGCTGCTGCAGTATTTTGTTGTTGATGGACAAGGGAGAGATGTCCAACAAACTCCACAGTTCTGCCCCATTTTGTACCGTTCTACTTTATCCCATTTCTTGCCGTTCCAGCCTCCTGGTTCCCTCCCTCCTCCTGACGAGGCTAGACGAAATGCCACCAACTCCATGTCGCCACCAACTCCGCACGGCGCCCACTGAGGTCGCGCCGCGGCCGTCAATGGGCCCGCACCGTGCTGGCCCGCCGCTGTTCACTCGCACCGTGCAGGCCCGCGTCTCTGCCCCCCTCACACCGGGATGGCCCGTCCCTGTCCAGTGTCCCCTCACACCGTGCTGGCCCGTCCCCGTCCAGTGCCCCCTCACACCGGGATGGCCCGCCGCTAACGACGCGCTGAAGGTCGGCCCGCGGCCTGACTGAACAGCGCTGTGCTGCACTGTGACTGTCCTTGCAGTGAGCGCGTGGCTATGTGCTCCTTTGATAGGCATGTAGGCTAAGTGCCCGTGGGCGCGGTATCGTTTTCGGCATCGTCGCCGCCCGCGAGGTCTGTTTGATCACGCTGAACCTGCACAGTGCAGTGGCGTGCACGGACTCCCAGGGCTGAGGCGTGGGCAATCTGACGTGACGTGCCCGCCGAATAACTAAATTGCCCCACATTCTTGTTTGGCCAAAAAATGCAATGCAGTGAGCGGATTTCTTTGCCTCTTTTCTATATGTTTACGTGCTTGCACCGCCCATGCTCAAAACGGTGGCTCGGCTGAGCTTTGCTCAGCCGAGCCACCGTTTTGAGCATGCACTGTAAAAAAAGATTAGCACCCTTTGGGTCATAAGTCAGAGTTCAATTTTCAGTACCCTGTTGGTGCTTAATGTATGCCCCAAATGGTGCTTACTCAAGAGCCCTAGATGCTAGCATTAGCACCATTTTGGTGCTTAACTTACACTCCAAGGAGTGCTTCGTTCAGAGCCATAGGTGCTAAATAGGTGCTAGCATTAGCACCATTTCGGTGCTTTGGTGCTAAATTCACGCACCCAAAGAGTGCTTCATTAAGAGCTCGTGTGCTAACATTAGCACCGAAGCACCCTAGCATGCGTCTAGCACCCAAAAATGTGTCGAGTTCAATTTTCAGCTCCTAGTGGGTGCTTACTGTGGTATGGTGCTAGCGTAAGCACGTATTTAGCAGATAGATGCTTATGTTAGCACCATAACGTGTTTCCACCGCTTTTCCATTCCAGTGGAGGCCGGGACTTTTATTCGTAGCGGAGAAAACTTAGACGCATTTTGAAGAGTGGCGGCAATGGACGTAGCCGCACTCCGCAGGCCGGGAGCCGAGCTAAATCGAAAGAAATATTGCGATTCTTAATGCTTACCTCATGCTGCAAACACGTTTAATTGTTTGTTTGTCGTTTATTTATGGTAATGGACATCACGTATGATGATTATTAGAGTTAAATTTAAGCGCAAGCGTAAACTTATTAGTCACAAAGCACCTTAAAAAATACAAAAAAACAACAACACAATATTAGCACGTCCTTACGAACAGTGCCACAGGGCCGCTCCCCTGGCATTATAACATAAGCTGATAAATCACAACATATGGGCGCCGCTATACAGATAGCCACCTCCGATAACAGCCACGTCTGCCGTCAACTGCACCCGTAATAAATAAATGAAAAAATATGCCATCTGCACTCTCTCTTTCACTGCAAAGATTATAGTTCATTTCATTAGCCACCAGTTATCTGTCGCCTATCTTGATCTGGTTAAATATCGATAAAACTTTGCCTTAGCAACCCTAAAAAGGTGTGGAATTACATCCATTATTATCCATAGCACGACAGCAGGTCAATGCAAGCCCACCTTAGCACTCCGACAAGGCTGGAAAGTTCCCACGCATCTCCTCCATTGATGCTCCGTTTCAGACTTCAGACTCGGTCTTGATTGCAGTTAGGACGACACCCACTTCAGTATTGTCACTCACGAATGCCCTTATTAGCCTACAAACGACCAACACCATCACCATGTTTCTATCACTGACCGCACGCACGTGGACCAACCAACCCGGCCGGGCGCTCCCACACAACTGACTTGACAAATGCAAATGGCGTCGCGAATCCCGCGCGCTTTATGAATTCGCTGCTTTTTTCGTACGACGTAAGCACCCAGATGCTGAAAAAGCAAACCAATAAGCACCGAACGGATGCGATCTTCCCGCCAAAATCGACGAAGTATATTTTGGGTGCTTTCATCAGCTCTTAAGTTTGATCATGGACCATGGTGCTTAAAACTGATGCTTAGATTAGCACCATCTGTACGTTGGTGGCTGGTGCTATTCCAAGCACCCTTGAAGCAGGGAAATGCTTGAAGTGCGGGCATACGGAGCTTAGACTAAGAGTCTTGCTGGGGGGATCCAGAGCGTCGTAAGCCTCGTCGTAGCTGCGACGTGTCGCAAGTTGTGTAGTAAGTCGTTTTTGTAGGGATCAATCGATGAGTAGCGTTACTTAAGTAGTAAAGTCTATCGCAAATAGCCTGATTTGCGACACAACTTACGAATTTGAAATAGCAGTCGTAAGTTGTGTCGCAAGTTGACCTTGCCTTGAGAAAGAGGTAACAGGTCACAGGTCATTCGGGTCATGGTCACGAAATTTACATGGTAGGTGTAAAATTGTTTAAACTTTAGATCCTGAATATTTGGTTGCAATCCGTTGACGCTAATACGAGTTATAGAGCTTGAACTGACGGGTCGTCTATGAGGCCTCAATCCGTGCCAGCGAGTGTTGAAATTGGTGCATAATATGTTATATTCACATTTATTGGGGTATTCGGGGATATGAAGTAGCCTAACACCATTCCAGCAACTACTGGCGAATCCAGAAAGGCGGTCTTGGACGTTGCAAGGGGCATCCCCCAAAATATTCTCCCAATTCCAAAAACGACGTGTCCCAGCTGACTCCGATGACCTCCAATGAGCTCTGTGATGACCCCAAGTTGACCTTTTTAACCTGACCTGTCCCAGATGACCTCCGTGACATCCTATTGAGCTCTCTGATGACTCCAAGCTGACCTCTGTGACCTGACGTGTCCCAGATGACCCCCATGACCTCCAATAGAGCTATGTGATGACCCCAACATGACCTTTGTGACCTGACGTGTCCCAGATGACCTCTGTAACCTCCAATTGTGACCTCCATCTACAAATTTCTTACCTCTCTGTGACCTCAAACTCTCGGAACTCATTTCTTCTAAAGCATCGATTCTAGATGCCCTATAGCCACGAATCTCCTGTGATCGATCCCAAATTTTATGGCAAATCACGTGAGCGTTAGCAACCACAAGTCACCCAGTTAATACAAAGCTTCAGAATCAGAGAACATGCTTGACCTTGCTGTCTCATAAGCTCGCAAACCAGAAAGGGGAATGTTCCTTTATGCGTGATAGAGTTTTCGACCTTACTGACGTTTACTACGGGATCAGCTGATCGTGTAGCCTTTTAAATTCTCGAGTAAAGCGGGTATTTAAGCCTCGTCGCAGCTACGTTCTGTCGTATCCTCCGACAAACCCCTCTTTCCTCAACATCCCTCCTTTTCCGCTACGACACAACTTGCGACGGCATATGTGTCTATTATGGCTGGGGGGATCCAGAGCGTCGTAAGCCTCGTCGCAGCTGCGACGTGTCGCAAGTTGTGTAGTAAGTCGTTTTTGGAGGGATCAATTGATGAGTAGCGTTACTTAAGAAGTAAAGTCTATCGCAAAGTGCCTGATTCACGACACAACTTACGAATTTGAAATAGCAGTCGTAAGTTGTGTCGCAAGTTGATATGGCCTTGAGGGAGAGGTCACAGGTCACAGGTCATTGGGGTCATGGTCACGAAATTTGCATGGTACGTGGAAAATTGTTGAAACTTGAGATCCTGAAAATTTCGTTGCAATCCGTTGCCGCTAACGCGAGTTATAAAGCAAGAACCAACGGTTCGTCTAGGAGGCCTCAATCCGCGCCAGCGAGAGTGTTGAACATGGTGCATAATATGTTGTATTCACATTTATCGGGGTATTCATGGATATGAAGTAGCCTAACACCATTCCAGCAACTACTGGCGAATCCAGAAAGGCGGTCTTGGACATTGCGAGGGGCATCCCCCAAAAGATTCTCCAAAATCTAAAAACGATGTGTCCCAGATGACCCCCATGACCTCGAATTGATCTCTGTGATGACCCCAAGTTGACCTCTGTGACCTGACGTGTCCCAGATGACCTCCAATTGAGCTTTGTGATGACCCCAAGTTGACCTCTGTAACCTGACGTGTCCCAGATGACCTCCGTGACCTCCAATAGAGCTCTGTGATGACCCCAAGTTGACCTCTGTGACCTGACGTGTCCCTTGATGACCCCCATGACCTCCGATAGAGCTCTGTGATGACCCCAAGTTGACCTCTGTTACCTGAAGTGTCCCAGATGACCTCCGTGACCTCCAATTGAGCTCTCTGATGACTCCAAGCTGACCTCTGTGACCTGATGTGTCCCAGATGACCTCCAATTGAGCTCTGTGATGACCCCAAGTTGACCTCTGTAGCCTGACGTGTCACAGATGACCTGCGTGATCTCCATTAGAGCTCTGTGGTGACCCCAAGTTGACCTCTGTGACCTGACGTGTCCCAGATGACCTCCAATTGAGCTCTGTGATGACCCCAAGTTGACCTCTGTAACCCGACGTGTCCCAGATGACCTCCGTGACCTCCAATTGAGCTCTGTGATGATCTCAAGTTGACCTCTGTGACCTGACGTGTCCCATATGACCTCTGTAACCTCTAAGTGACCCCTCTGATGACTCCAAGCTGACCTATCTGACCTGATGTGCCCCAGATAACCGCCATGACCTTCAATTGAGCTCTGTGATGACCCCAAGTTGACCTCTGTGACTTGACGTGTCCCAGATGACCTCCGTGACCTCCAATTGAGCTCTTTGATGACCTCAAGCTGACCTCTGTGACCTGGCGTGTCCCAGATGACCCCCAATTGAGCTCTGTGATGACCCCGAGTTGACCTCTGTAACCTGACGTGCCCCCAAGTTGCCTTCTGTGACCTGACGTGTCTCAGATTACTTCCGTGGTCTCCAATTGAGCTCTGTGATGACCCCAAGTTGACCTCCGTGACCTGAAGTGTCCCAGATGACCTCTGTAACTTCCAATTGTGGCCTCAATCTCCAACTCTACTAACTCTCTGTGACCTCATACTCACTTAACTCATTTCTTCTAAAGCATCGCTTCTAGATGCCCTATAGCGCCACGAATCTCCTGTGATCGATCCCAAAATTCATGGCAACTCACGTGAGCGTAAGCAACCACAAGTCACCCAGTTGAGACAAAGCTTCAGAATCAGAGAACATGCTTGAACTGGCTGTCTCATAAGCTCGCAAACCAGAAGGGCGAATGTTCCTTTATGCTTGATAGAGTTTTCGACCTTACTGACGCTTACTACGGGATCAGCTGATCGTGTAGCCTTTTAAATTCTCGAGTAAAGCGGGTATTTAAACCTTGTCGCAGCTACGTTCTGTCGTATCCTCCGACAAACCCCTCTTTCCTCAACATCCCTCCTTTTTCGCTACGACACAACTTGCGACGGGACATGTGTCGTAACTTGCGACGTGTCGTAGATGGACTTGCGACGCCCTGGATCCCCCCGGCGACTGCTAACTGTAGAACATTTTAAGTGCATGTTAAGCACCCAGGGCTCTTGTTCCAGAACCGTAGCATCCGACTAGCACACCGGTATGCTAATCTTTTTTTTACAGTGTACCGTGCAGGCCACCGCCGCTTCACTCGGTGCGGCACGGCTGGGGAGAGGGGGATTGCGGGCGCCGATTTATTCCGCCGCATAGTGTCTGGCGGCCGGGGGGGGGGGGGGGGATTGCGGGCGCCGATTTATTCTGCCGTAGTGTCTGGCGGCCGACCCTGAGACGCTGACCGCTACTCGGAGGACGCGCCCCTCCGCGGGCGTTCACTGGGCGGGCTGGTCCGTGCCCCTGCAGTCCGCACCTGAGCACGCCGGGCTCGTTACCGCCCGATGGAACAGGTACTACTCCATAACTGAGCTGGAACGGTGGGCAGCACGCACTTATCAGCCTAATGATGAGTGTCTGATAATGATTGATAGATCAGTGTCTCATCTTTCTATTAATGAAAAAAAAAGATTGTAGGTATAATCAATTTAATCATGTTTATTCATGCAAGGATCTGTATTTATTTTGCGTGTTTGCATCCACTATCTACTACAGGCGTGTACAACTGCAATGTACTGCAGTGCGTAGGTATATGTGCTGGCCGGCGACATAGGGCAAGTCACTTACGAACATATTTTCACAACTTATTTGTTTTAATATATGCATGAGTATGATACTTACCAGTAGAATTTAGGTATGCAGAACATATTTATTGTCCACATACCTATGAAATATTGTGATATATAAATGCGTGAATTTAGACATATGTGGATAATAAATCAGACGGGAAGCGATGTTTGATCTGTCAACAAGCTTGGTCTATTTTGCGGCCCACCCGTGAGTTTGGATCGAGTTCCAGGTGCTGCTATAGGTACGATTTGTTGTCCGTCATTAATTCGCCGCGATGGGCCGCCGCCGTAGCGGACATGACAGCTGCGATCGGCTAGCCCAAGGGCTGGCCGCTCTCCACCACGGGCCGTCGTCCCCGGCGTGCCCAAATACATTCAGAAGTGACAGCGACCGTACAGCTGGACATCGCATTATGAAGCATTCAAACTGCTCAAGTGTTCAGCGGTGATCTAACCCTTGTAAATTGCAAATTGTAGGTAGGGGAGACCGGGGTCAATTATAACTCTTTTTTTTGCATTTTATCATCTGGTGCAAACACGTTTGCAGTTAAAAACCTCTTTCTTATGCTTTCAGTAACTATGATGTTTTGTCTTTTAAATGCAGTTAAAACATTTCCGAAATAGCAGCTTTTTCGGGTCAAAATTGTGGTCCGCAAAAAGTCAGTTCAGCTGTTACAATTTACCCCAGATACGAGGCCAAAAGCAACACCACCCGGGGACAATTGTAACATGTTACTTAGAGGTTACAGAAATGCAATATTTTCAAAAACTTTGATTTGGTTAAGTGTAACTCATGTTCATCTCCTCAGACATGGCAGGTACGGTTCTTTTCAGGAAAAAAAAAACTTTTAACCTCGCTTTTATACGGGGTTGGATGAACCTCGTCTTCCTCGGTTTTCGCAAATAAATTTCGTAAAAAGCTGCCGATTGCGACAAAACTTACAGTTTTCTTAATTCTAGCAATGTTTCACCTGTCTTGGAAATCTGATGACCTTGACCTAGTGGCCTTTGACTTATACATTTGACTCCTGCAAGAATCTTACAATTGTCCCCGTCGTGCCGAAACATTTTTTTTGCGAAACTGGCGCAAAAAGATGTTGCATGGACAGCATCTAATGCTTTCAATTTACGGACAACAAGCCTGCCAACGCTTACACAAAGTCGAAGTCGATATCTTTTCAGTTGCGGGAATGAGCTTATCAAATATAACGGCATAAAACTACAAAATGCTCTAAAGACACATAACTGCGCACAGCCATCAATCGACATACCCGACACTTCCGCTTCAAACTCCTTTGGGAAAGGCAGTATAGAATTACGCATTTTCGGTCTTAACATCAGCTTATTCTATTGGTAAGTTTATGAATTATAAACACTGTTACAATTGCCCCGTGTTACATTTGATCCCGCTCTCCCCTAAAGTGAACCTACGTGCATCGGTTTTGGCCCTTCTGCAACGCAACTTGGGCGGCGGCATCGAGCACCACCGGGCAGGCTAGGACAGACGGGGCGGTCCCGCGACGTGGCACCGCCAGCTTTGTGAAAACGCTCTATCGTCTTACCATGGACCTCTCGGTCAGTTATTTGACCCTCGGTCACTGCACTTTGAGCTCCGGTCAATGGTGCATCACATTATGAGCAAGCGGGCTTGTGCAATGTGCGTATCACAACTGCGACTGCCGACGGATCATTTTACCGAGTTCCATTCAGTTCGCTCCTGACACGTTGTCATTACAGCTTCGATGCTAGAACAGTACCCTACCAACCCTCACCTGTGCCGTCCCAACCCCTCACCTGTGCCGTCCCACCCCCTCACCTGTGCCGTCCCACCCCCTCACCTGTGCTGGTCCGTCCCCTCACCTGTGCCGGTCCGTCCCCTCACCTGTGCCGTCCCACCCCTCACCTGTGCCGTCCCACCCCCTCACCTGTGCCGTCCCAACTCCTCACCTGTGCCGTCCCACCCCCTCACCTTTACTCCTGCCGTTGATGCGGGTCATCATGACCATCTGTCGGCGCCGGACGGCTCCGGCCGGCGGTGTCAGCACGGCCACCGTCAGCGCCGCTGTCAGCAGCGTCAGCGTCAGCAGCGCGCCGCAGCTCAGCGGCCGGCCCCCCGCCATGGCCAGTCGGGGCCGCTCAGCGGCTCCGTCAGCTCCTCAACCAGCGCTGCTCAGCGGGCTCGTTTCCCCAGTCAGCGCCGCTCGGCGGACTCAGCAACTCAGTCAGCGCCGCTCAGCGGCTGGGTCCGCTCCTCAGTCAGCGCTGCTCAGCGGACTCAGTCAGCCCCTCAGTCAGCGCCGCTCAGCGGGCTCAGCAGTCAGCGGACTCAGCAACTCAGTTAGCTCCGCTCAGCGGCTGGTTCAGCTCAGTCAGCACCGCTCAGCGGGCTAAGCGGACTCAGTCAGCTCCGCTCAGCGGGCTGGGTCAGCGCCGCCCTCCGCTGCCAGCGCCCGACTGGCAGACGGCCGGCCCGGGCGGCCCGGCTCCTGGCCCGGGGAGGTGGTCACTCGGCGAGACCAGTCACCGACGGCCAGGGGCGGGCGGCTGCGCCCCTTCCCCCGCACACACTGGACGAGCAGCACCCCTTCATCGACGGCCAGGGAACCCCCTCCCCCCACACACCGCTCTTTTACCTAACCTGGGTGTTAATATCTCGTTTCGGATGTAGCTGATTGGATGTATAACTCACACCTGTCCAAAGTGCGCGATCATGCCTCGATCATGTATCCGATGATTGCCAGGTCCTTACCAGCTGCGGTACGGCCGCACCTTGCACCTGCAGTAAATAAATAAAGAGCAATGCTCATGGAGTCTGTCGGTCACCGGTTATGTCAAGTGCCCGGCTGCCAATGGCCACGGCGAATGGCCACGGTATATTTCAACCCTCCCTTGTGTGCGGCGTTTTCCAGCTTCTAATCGTCGTTTAGACTGCCCCGTGCCTTTGGGCCCCTGATCGAGTTACGCGGGAAAAAAACAGCGTATGTATACCTATTGCCCTGTGCCCATGACGAGAGGAAGCCGATGATACCCAATTTTAAGGTCTGAGGCCACTGGTTCACCTTCCAGGTCAGGTCAATGACCCAAAAGTCGGGTAAATTGGGACATTCTAGATCTTCATTTAATGGAATAACCTTCTGTTCAAAATTCTAAAAATTGCCAAAAATTACAAACAACACTTAAATGTATTTCGGAGGCGTTCCTTCATCGGTTCAAGTGATAAACATTTATAGTGCCACATTTGCCGTTAACATATCTGATCCGTGTTTTTTTAAATATAATTTCCTCCCATTTACTCATACATTTTACTATACCTTAGATGGCGAAATGAAATTGGGCTGATGGATTTTGGGGGTGGTGGCGCTTAACCCGCGCCCCACTGCGGGGGGGGGGCTATTAATAGCCCCCCCCCGTTTTCCTGCAATAACTTCCAAACCGCTTGATGTATCGACGCCAAACTTTCAGTACCTTCGGCTGCATCAATTTGACACCTTGTGTCAAAATTTGAACTTCGTAGCTACCATAGGTCGGCCGGAAATCACGTCAGGGTGACGTAATGTTCGGCCGATTTCGACGCAAAACATTGAACCACGGCAATCGCTCCCAAGAGCTCAATTTTTAAGCTAGATCCAATTTCTTTGGATGAGAGGACTCAGAATTGACTGCGCTATCAAACTGCATCTCGGATTTTCAAAATTTTGAAAATTTTGAAAATTACATTTATGAAAATTCAAAATTTATATTTTCATTTTTTTTCTCAAAAACTTTTTGACTTCTGGAAAAAAAGACATATATGTGATAGAACACATGCTTATGGCTTACTCTAGCAAGTTTTAGCTAAATATCTTCAAAAGTGGCCAAGTTATAGGTACGCATTATTGCAAAAGTTCATAATTATAAATTTTTTCCAATCAATTTGTCAGTACGTTTTTGACGTCTTACACCAATATAAATAGCACCATCGTGTTCCTGAGCTCAAACTGCATCCAAAAACACCTTGTTTCTTGAAAAAGTTCAACTTCAAAATTTGACCTTTTTTGGCCTGAAAGTGACCTGACCTAGGCTAAATTCAACTCAAAATGACCTCGAATGACACAAACGACATCAAATTCGAAATCTATGGCTTAGATGGACCATAAAACATGTGTCACGTGACGTGACCGGCACATGATATCAGGGCGTATTTTAACATGTTAACTGGGTCGGCAATTGCCGACCCAGTCACGGAGAATGCCGACCCAGTGACAGCCGTTTGCCGACCCAGTTGCCGCCCCCTCTAGGATGCAGCACGCACATGCAGGCTAGGTGCCGTCATTCATAGTGAGGCTGCTGCCCTCCGAGATGATAATGCCGCCCCTTAAAGTGAAGCAGCCGTCTATACAAAGTGATGATCCCACAACTCAATGTGACAGTGCCGCCCCTAAATCTGTTAGTAGTCCCACTCAATGTAATGGTGCCGCCCTTCTAAGCATCTGTGGAGCCCCTCAATGTGATGATACCGCCCCTCAAGAAGATGATGCCGCCCCTTTCAGTATCGGTGGCGCCCCTCAATGTGATGGTGCCGCCCTCAAAGTGCCGGTGGCGCCCCTGAATGTGATGGTGCTGCCCGCCAACGAGTCGATGGCGCCCCTCAAAATGATGCTGCCGCCCCTTAAAGTGTTGGCGCCGCCCCTTATAGTGTCAGTGACGCCCTTCGAAGTGTCGGAGGAACCCACCAATATAATGGTGCCGCCCCTCTAGATATCCACATAGCCCCTCATTGTGATGGAGCCGCCCCTCAAGCAGATGATGCCGCCCCTGAATGTGATGGTGCTGCCCGCCAACGAGTTGGTGGCGCCCCTCAAAATGATGCTGCCGCCCCTTAAAGTGTTAGTGCCGCCCCTTATAGTGTCAGTGACGCCCTTCGAAGTGTCAGAGGAACCCACCAATATAATGGTGCCGCCCCTCTAGGTATCCACATAGCCCCTCATTGTGATGGAGCTGCCCCTCAAACAGATAATGCCGCCCCTCAAGAAGATGATGCCGCCCCTTTCAGTATCGGTGGCGCCCCTCAATGTGATGGTGCCTCCCTCAAAGTGCCAGTGGCGCCCCTAAATGTGATGGTGTCTCCTGTCAACGAGTCGGTGGCACCCCTCAAAATGATGCTGCCGCCCCTAAAAGTGCTGGTGCCGCCCCTTACAGTGTCAGTGGCGCCCTTCAAAGTTTTGGAGGAACTCATCAATACAATGTTGCCGCCCTCTAACTTTCTGTAGCGCCCCTCCATATACATAATGGTGCCGCTTCTCAAACCATCCGTGGCGCCCCTCAAAGTGATGGTGCCGCCCCTTACAGTGTCGGTGGTGTCTCCTCAAAAGTCAAGGTGCCGCCTCTCAAAGAAATGCTGGTGTCCCTCGAAGTGTCGGAGGCGCTCCTCAATGTCATGTTGCCGCCCCTCAAACCTTCCGTAACGCCCCTCCACGTCATGGTGCCGCCCCCCAATGTGCTCACGGCGCCCATATGTGATAGTAACGCCGGTCAAAGTGCTCCTGGCAGTGTCGGTGGCGCCCCATATAGTGTCGGTGGCGCCCCGAACAGTGTCGGTGGTGGCCCTCAAAGTGATGATGTCACCCTCAAACAAACGGTGGCGCCCTTCGAAGTATCGGAGTCCCTAAATATCATACCTATTGCCGCCCATTAACGATCTGTAGCACCCCTCCATATGATGGAGCCGCCCCTTAAAGTATCCATGGCGGTCCTTAAAGTTACAGTGCCGCCCCTTACAATGTGGGTGGCGTCCTCAAAATAAAAGTGATGTTGCCCCCCCCCCCCCCCCCGAGTAATGTTGGCGTCTCTTTCTTCTTTAAGTATCGGAGGCGCTCCTCATTGTCATTTTGCCCTACATCACTGCTCACATGGCGCCCTACAATGTAATGGTGCCACCCCGCAACGCTCAAGGACATAATTGCGCTCCTCACAGTGTCGGTGGCCCTAAAAAAAAATTGGTGGCGCGCCTCAAAAATCAAAATGATGCTGTCGTCCCTTAGCATATCTGCAGCGCCCCCAAAATGATAGTGCCTTCCCTTAACCGGCGCCGGGCTGAGTTTGTTTAAACCCCCCTCCCGACCCCTATAACTTGGCTACTTAGGCCACGTAGCGACACGCGGTAAGCGGTATTCGAAAGAGTGTCAAAAACTGCTTAGGTTAGTTGGTTAACCGTGCTTTGGTTAGGTCAAGTCAAATGTCAAATATCAGGTGACCAGAGGTCACCAAAGGTGAAATGTGGGTGAAATGTTGTCTGTTTCAACATTTATTGACAAACTGGCGCATAACTCGGGGAAGAATAGAACTACAGCACCGCGAAAAAGCGCATTCGATAGCTCTTCAACGTTCCTATGAAGTCCTCAGACTTGACGTAACATCAACGGCCTAACCTACAGAGCACAACTTGTTTAACCCGTGCCGGGCCGGGAGGGTTGGAGGGGACAGTGGACCCCCTGCGCCCCTCTACTGAGCTGTTTTAATGAAGAACCTTTTTACTGTAATAATTATTGACTCACGAAAGTTATGACATTGTTTTTTTTTTCAGTACTGTGCTCCTCTCGTCGAGATGCGTCGAATGAACTATAATTTGACATTCAAACGTCATTTGGGAAATTTGAGCTCAGGTCCAGGTCATGACCTGGCTGGTAAAGGTCATGTTGCATATCAGTCGATTTGTATCGTCAAACTGAAATCATCTATGTAAGGTGTTTTCATCGCTCAGGCATGTCGCATGTCTCTATCACAAGTTATTGGAAAAAAACTGCTGGAGGCCTACCATGACCTGACATGACCTCAAGGACATAACGAGGGGTCGTGGGTGGCAATTTTCCGATTAAGTGTGTCATTTTTAATTGTTTTCTGATGTTTAAATTCGTTAACTTTGACATTTGTCTACCTATAAAAAGAGGCACATGCCCTGATTTTCTCCCATTTCCTTTTACCTAATGGAAGGGTCGCAAAATTGTCCTTACATTTGGTCAGAGACATCGCAATTTCGAGACTTACATTTAACCCTCGCCGGTTGATGCAACCCCCTAAGGTTTATCGCGAATAACTCGCGTAAAAAGCGGCCGATCGCAACGAAACTTTCAGTACCCTCGAATTGATCAATTTTACACCTACCCTGCAAATTTTATGACCCTGACTACAATGACCTTTCACCTGTGACCTCTTTTCCGTGACCATGTTTGGCCGAAATCAAGATTCGGCGTATGTCGGCTCGCATTAACCGCGCGTTTGCAAGCTTTTCGTGGTTTCAAACGTTCAAACATGTGATTTAATGTTGCTCCCATGCATTAGGGTGGGTGTCAAGGTCACCTGAAGGTCAGGTCAGGTCATTGACCTTTGGTGACCTCGGTTCACTTTTTCGAGTTTTACATGTTTCTAGGCTAGTTTTTGGAGCTGAATTCGAATTTAGCAACCATTTAAATATTTCCGAAGTAGTTTTGGTGCCTTCGTAACATGTTACGAAGCTGTCAGAGGCGGATGACAGGTACTACGAATACCCGGTACGACCCCTACCGGTTGACCTGACCTGACCTGACCTGACCCGACCTGGTCTAAACGCTTAACGACATCATCTGTGATCAAAACTAACACGATATTTGTGATCAGCACCCCGGAAAACCCCTTAACAGCCACAATTTACGACTTTCAAACAGGTCCCGATATTCCCGATTTTTGGGTCATTGACCTGACCTGGAAGGTCAACCGATGACCTTGAAATTGGGTATCATTGGCTTCCTCTCGTGACGGGCAACACGCTCGTTTTTTTCTGCGAAGCTCTAGCTCCATCAGGGGCCAAACGCGAGGGGGGGGGGGTCGTACCAACCAACCTTGTGCCGTCGAAGGACTCAAAATGGCCTGTGCCGGCGAGGGTTATATATACAGTTACACACTGTTTGTCTTATCAATCGCTGAAGTTATAAAGGGATCGTTCAGTCGGTATATTTATGGTGAGCATTTGCCTGTTCCGTGGCTCAGTTGGTAGAGCACCGGACTCCCCGCATTGTCTTCGCTTGCGTTTTGTCCGCCGGCCAAGCCGGAGAGAAAGTTACCGAGTGAAGGTCATTCAAATTTCAAAAACTCAATGACAATGTCACTGGGGTCACGAAAATGTTTGAGTAGGTAGGTATAACATTCATTAACCTGGGGGGGGGGGGGGGGAGGGATGAACGTATCGTTGCAATACGCTGTTCATTACGCGAGTAACTAATAAATAAAAAAATGTATGAGTTAATCCTTAGTCCTTACTCCACACGCTCTCCCTCTCCATAAAAAAGAGAGTTAATTGTGTTGCATTTTATTTATACCTATGCAGAAAAATAGAGGCGTCAAAGGATATGGCCGAATATCAGCGACCCTTGCTGTGTAAGCAATGGGGTATGACAAGTGGGCGTAATGGCCCCGTCCAGCGCCCATAAAGTGGGCACACTCGTGCGACCTGCCGACCACTGTTCTAGATAGAGCCATAAAACGCCGTGAATATTTTAAGCTTGACAATACGAATCGACTGGTATGTAACATGTTTACCTCAGGTAAAATTTTAAAATTATTTTTTGTTAGGTCAAATTATAGTTCATTTATCGCATTATGATGAGAGAAATACTATATCCCGGAAAAATAAACGTAATACCGCTGAGCTTAGGTTGAATCTGAAATCATTACTTAGGAAGAGTTATAAAAGAACCGTTGAACGTGTCTTTTTTGGTCATTAAATATCAGTAGGTATGCCGCCCCCTCAGATGCCAAGTGCCGCCCCTATGAGTGCAAAATGCCGCCCCTAATTGTGATTGCCGACCCAGTGAAAATCCCTTAAAATACGCCCTGCATGATATAATATTTCCGTGACCTGTGATGACCTGACCCTGACCTGAAAATCAAATTACAAGTTTGGTACCCTCAGGGTATCTAAAGCATCTGTTCACGAGTGTGACTGTGTAAACCAAAAATGAGTCTGATCTGACTTGTAAGACGGCGGGCAGAGCCCAAAATGTGAACAAGCCAAAATGCTAATAATTTTTACTTTTACCTGACCTGTGACGTCATCCGTGACCTCGAGGTCAATGAAATTAGGTTTCGTTCGACAGTTTTTCCGGGGCTATCAGACGCCGTTTGAATTTTGACGATCGGCCCAGTAGTTTCGGAGTTAGAAGGGGGGGGGCTATGGAGAGCCCCCCCCCCGCAGTAGGGCGTATTATATGTTATACGCAGACCCCAGTGGGGCGCGGGTTAATTAAGTACAGGATAATTAAGTATGCAAACGAATGAATGAATTGAATGAATGCACGAATGAATGAAACATGAAAGAAAGGAGTCTAAGCATATAGGCTCCTTTTATAAGAGTTCTTGTAAACGCCGTGGGATGGATATGGCAGCACTGGCCGAAGTTCAACTGCAGAACACGGCTATCGAATGCAAAATGTATTTCACGCATTTGAGTCCATCGTATGTTGACGGTCCAAAGATTCATTTCCTTGACTCGGATAACCGTTTGTCGGCACTGGTATCTCTGTCAATGTTGCCTAATGCCGTGAATAGAATAGTACTATATATTAAACCGCGAGTAGGTAGAACACATCTTTTAAACGTCGAGCCGATAGGCGAGACGTTTAAAAGATTTTTTTTGCCTACGAGCGGTTTAATAGTTTTATCCCGTACCGCCGCTGTCTTTCGGGCGCTTAAAGGTAAAAATTCATCTTATATAAAAAATACGACACATTTCAGAAGAGCCAGAGACAAAGAGAAGCAGACACAGATTGTTAATCGTCACTAACGTTTAACAAATCGGTTAACCCGCGCACCGACGGGGGGGGGCGGATATCCGCCCCCCCCCCCTGAGGTTTTTCGCGGATAGCGGGAAAACCGCGGCGCGTAGCGCCGCGAAATTTTGTATGACTATTCTCACATCAATTTTACACATGGTGTGCAAGTTTGAACCTCCTAACTTTTAAGGTCAGGTCACCAGGTCACTTTGAATGACCCAACCTCAAGTCACTTTTTTGCAACTTTGTCACCGTGCCAGAGCTACAGTAGATGTCGGAGGCCTTTGAAAGTCGCAGGATGTTATTAGGTCATTAGTAGCTACAATTTGTATATCTCGGAATTTTGATGTCGGTGACCTAAGGTCAGGTCAATTTCGCGACCTCCCCATTATAAGTCAATGGGGGAAAAATCAACTCCCTGTTTTTACCACTAAAACGGGTCGGAATGGCCCCATATACCATACATGACTTCACATACGATCAACATTCACTACCTTGAGGTCTGTTTTGCTGTTGGGCAGCTGTAAGGTCATGTGACGTCATCAAAGGTCACCAAAGGTTTTTTGCCAATAACTCCTTACAGGAACAAGATACAGCCGCGCGGATGGTCTCATTGTGTTCAGCTCGTCAAGACGCATCGAATGATATGCATGATGACCTCGAGGTCACGTGACCTGAGGTCAACCTTTGACCTTGACCTTTCGAGGTCAACATATATATCATTCGATGCGGATTGACGAGAGGATCACGATGATGCCCTTAGTTTGTTCCTATCTTGACTACTTCGAAAGTTATTCGAGAAAAACCCTCTCCATATCTAGCGCCGCCATTTTGACTTTTTCGACCCCTGTGACGTCATCTTTGACCTGACCTGAAAATGACCTTAGTAAAAATTGTAGACCTTGTCCGTGCGTATCCGATGCCGTTTACCGCTTGTCGCTATCTTGCTTCGTTCTCGAGATCTCAGGGGGGGGGCGGTCATCCGCCCCCCCCCCCCGTCGGTACTAAGTTGGCGCAGACCCCCGTCGGTGCGCGGGTTAAAGGAAATAGTTCACTTTTAACATGGGGTTTTGAACTGGAATAGCAGTTCCGTAGCTTGAGCTGAGACGAGCACCAATCAGGAGCTATTACAGCCCAACGATCACCCTAGGCAAAGATATTATATTTCTCGTCCCGAAAAAGGTGCCTTGCTGAGGAATGTGTGCCTTGCGTATAGTTGCATCCAGCCTTACAGGAGTCATCCCCTTCTTTTTAAACTTGAGTTCTTCCTATATTAAAATATAGGAAGAATTATTCCTATATTAAAATATAGGGTGAATTTATATATTAGTGTTATATATATTATATATTTTATATAACGTCGAGCCGATAGGCGAGACGTTTAAAATATTTTTTTTTGCCTACGAGCGGTTTAATAGTTTTATCCCGTACCGCCGCTGTCTTTCGGGCGCTTAAAGGTAAAAATTCATCTTATATAAAAAATACGACACATTTCAGAAGAGCCAGAGACAAAGAGAAGCAGACCCACCCTATATTAAAATATAGGGTGGGTGATAAAATATAGGGTCACCAGGTGTGGGGTAGGCTCCCACTTCAGCCGTAGCCTGGGGGGTGGGTAATAGGACGGCGGGAGGAGCAGGTGCTCTCTCCTATAATTGGGACAAGAGCCCGTTGGAGAGATGTCCCACTAAAAAAAAAATCAAACTGGTGTCAAAACAACGTTTTATACCGGGCTTCTAAAAGAAGTCAGACGAATTTATAACTAATATATTTAAGGGTTATCAGTGTAACAAAAGAGAATTGGGGAGGAATTCAGAGGAGCTTGGGTTACATCTTCAGAAAATAATAGTTTTTGGATTGATGACTATTTTTTGGTTGGGGGAATAAGATGTTTTTGCCCCACCCCTGAAGGTAGGAGGCACTGTGACCCGATACCCCCTCCCCCACACACACATTTCCGCCGCCCTTGCTTCCAAGACATCATTTTACATAAACGTTTATTTCAATACAATTACTTAGAACACTAACACCATAACAAAAGGACTTGCCCCTAATTGGCGCGACAACAAAACGTCAACAAAGTCGCGCAAGATTAACAGGCAATGTCGAATCAAAAACGATACAGATGTATCCACAGCGAGACATTGTGACGTACCTAGCGCCTCCACATACCTACAACATTTCTAAACTATGTAGTATCCGGACTAGTACACTCATTTCTCTGCGTCTGTTTGTGCTTGATCTGTTAAGAAAATTTTGATTCAGATGAAGTGACCTTAACATGTCTATTCAACGTCAGCATAAAACTAGCTTTTTGGTGTACCAATACCAAACCACTGCCGATATTATACATATGTATTAGTGCATAATGACTGTGGTATTTTGACGGCTTCATTATTCCTCACTAATGTTGTAGCTGTTCCAGATTTGGCATAAGTTGTTTTTGTCTTTGTTTTTCATAATAATCTAAACTTAGCACTGTAGTTTTTGCTCTTGTTTTAATGAATAATAAAAGTTGTAATTGTAGCTATTTTCACGCAGGTCAACCGTGTCCACTTGCATGTCACTGTGAAAACGGTTATTAATTATTTTGATGAAATCTTACTCTGCGCGCACCGGCTAGGTCCCTGTTCACCACGAAGTACAGCCCTCGTCTCACCCCGTGGCTAGGATTTATTCTTCGACAGCACCGAGAATAGCTCTGAGACTAATGTATCGTGGAGGCTTCCATTTCGCGTCTAGCTGGACGCGTCTAAGTCCTAGACGCGTCTAGCTGGACGGCGGCTGCGTCTATTTGGTGACTGCTAACTTTAGACACGTCTAGCTTGGAAGTCTCCGTCCAAGAGTTAGACGCCAACTTGGACGCCAACTTGGACGTCTGCTCAGTAATCAGTTAGATGCCAGTTGGACGCCAGTGGAAGTCTCCACCCATGGAGGCGCAACACTTCATACTTTCACTTGGAGCTATCGTCAAAACAAACTGTTATCTATTGCTGTCAAATAAGTGTAAATTTAGACAAATTATAATATATGTAGATGATGAGCTTAATTTTGTTATAGGTGTTCAGCATCGTGCGTCTTTGCGTTATGAATTTTGAGTGGCCGACAGATAGCTTTTGAGAGCCAGTCTCTGCTTGTTTGTCTGTTTGTTTTGTTGAGAACAGGGGGCTGAAGGGTGGAGGAGAAGGATTTGAAGGTCCTGAGGATGAAAACTACGGAACGGTGTTGCCAGTCTGTTTTTGCAGAAGAAAGGCTAACCACGCAGTGAGGCGAGCCCTGTTCGTGCAAAGAGGTCACCGGGCAGTGTGGCACTCGGTAAGAGGTGGCTGGGGAGTGAAGACGGCACCATATTTGAGTCTCATTCAGGTGAGATATACCGCGACTGCCTCGCGCTGCAGTGATGCTTCTCGCGCGGCCCCGGCAGGCGACACCACACCCCCGGAGCCGACGGGCCGTCCCAGGGGCGGGCGTGCCGCGCCGGTGGCTGACCCGCCCTCTGCGCCCCGTGTGTCGTGTCCGTCTGGAGGGACAGGACGCACGGTGGCGCCACAGAGGTCTGCCACATCGGCGGTCGGCCGTGGCACTCAGCGACGGGCACCCCAGCTGGGCGTTTGGCGTCCCGCCGCGCCGGCGGGCACCTCAGTTTGGCATGTGGTTAGCTAGCTGCTTGGTGCGCCCTCTGTGCAACTTGAGCAAACCTGTCCACTGAGCTGAACTCACCTCCTGGGACATTTCTCTACATCCTAAATTCGCTGACGCGGGCAGCGAGTTGCACCTGCACCCGGCCCCATCGTTCTAAGGACGCTGAACGTCGGCTCATAACGGGGAGGACCTGGTCAGCGCCACAACTCGACTGGAATCTGACTGCTGCTGTTGTTGTTGTTGTTGTTGTTGCCGCTGCTGCTGCTGCTGCTGCTGCCGCTGCTGCTGCTGCTGCTGCTGCTGCTGCTGCTGCTGCTGCTGCTGCTGCTGCTGCTGCTGCTGCTGCTGCTGCTGCTGCTGCTGCTGCTGCTGCTGCTGCCGCTGCTGCTGTTGCTGTTGTTGTTGTTGTTGTTGTTGTTGTTGTTGTTGTTGTTGTTGCCGCTGCTGCTGCTGTTGCTGTTGTTGCTGTTGTTGCCGCTGCTGCTGCTGCTGCTGCTGCGTCGGCGGCGCTCTGTCTCCTGCGGCCCGGCTCGCTGCGCTGGTCCGCTGAGGAGAGCCGGCGGTCGCGGCCGGTCTCGGGGCGGTCGCGGCCGGTCTCGGAGCCGCGCCACTGCGCCTCCTCAGGGTGGAGGAGCGGCCGTGGGCGTCGGCGGCGGCCGGAGCGTCGGCAGCGGCCGGGGCGTCGTGAGGGGCCGCGCCGGCGCCGTGCCCCTTCCCCGCTGCCGCCGGCGGGTGGAAGGAGGATCCATGCACCCCCTCAAACCTGCAACACAGATACCGTCAGTGGCGGGACGGGGGGCGGGGCGGAGCGCCGCGGACACGCCACCCAGTCGAAAACCGCACCCAGCCCGCACAGGGGACTGGCCTCTCTGCGTTCGGCCGCTGATACATATGTCTTACTCTCAAGTACTTATCATATCATGGAAACTTCTCATTTGGCAAAATGAAACTATTACATCATACAAGCATTCTCAGCATCCTAGCCGATGTTTTTTTGTGACTGTTAGTATTAGACGTTCAGTGACCGTGTATGAAAGCCAGTTAGCGCGCTCTCTGTTTGGGCCCCGGCTTCCTGACGGCGGCCGCTCGCCGCTCGCCGCGCACTCACCCGCCGTGGAACTGTCCGAAGTAGGACTTGGGCGGTCCGTAGCCGTGGGTGTCCACCTGGCGCGGCGGCCCGTACCCGAACACGGCGCCCTTGTGGCGGCCCTTGCCGTGGTGACCCTTGAAGTGGTGGCCGTGTCCGTAGTCATCCTCGTATCCGTAGCCGTGGCCGTGACCTTTGCCGTGACCTTTGCCGTGACCCTTACCGTGGCCTTTGCCCTTGCCGTAGCCCTTGTTGACCTTGAATATGGGGACCTCGTAGCGGACCGGTACGGGGATGTGGATGGGCTTGGCGACCGGGTACGGCTTGGCCACCGGCACCGGCTTGGCCACCTTCACTGGCACGTGCACGTGGTACGGCTTGGGCACCGGGATCGGCACCTTGCGCACGAAGAACTTGAACTTAGGGATCCACACCGGGAAGTATTTGTACTTTGGCTTGTACGCGAACATGTCCATGAAGCTAGCGAAGTAGCCTTTGCCCTTGCCTTTTCCTTTGCCGCCATGGTGGCCCTTGCCCTTGCCTTTGCCCTTTTGGTAGTTGTAGTAGAAGGGGTCGATGTCACCGTAGTACTCATCGTATGCGTACGATTCACCGTACCCGCCGTGGGGTCCGCCGTACCCGCCGTGGGGTCCGCCGCCGTATCCGCCGTGGTGCCCGCCGCCGTATCCGCCGTGGTGTCCAGCATGGTGCCCACCGTAACTCTCCTCGAAGTCGTCGTACCCGCCGTGACCTCCGTGACCCTTTCCGTGACCTCCGTGACCCTTTCCGTGACCTCCGTGATGGCCGCCGTACCCGACCTCTTCGTACCCGCCATAGCCGCCGTGACCTCCGTGTCCCTTTTCGTGACCTCCGTGACCCTTCTCGTGACCGCCATGGCCGCCATATCCACCGCCGTGAGCGCCTTTACCGTGACCGCCTTTACCGTGACCGCCTTTACCGTGACCGCCGCCGTGTCCGTACCCCGCCGGAGGGCCGTGGTACTGGCCGCCGTGCTCGGGCTCGTGGCCGTAGCTGTCGGCGTACCCGTGGCTGCGCGGCCGGCGGCTCGGGTGCTGTTTGGCGTACGTCTGGCCGTTGCCCTTGTACTCTGGCACCTTCTCGGGCTCCTCGTAGGTGCCCTCCTCCTTGAACAGGCTGCGGAACAGTCCGGTGCGCCGGTGGTCGTACGCCTCCGGATAGTCGTAGCCGTGGCCGTAGCTGACCTCGTGCGGCGCCTCGTATTGGTTGGACAGGGAGCCTCCCTTCCCGCCCGACTGGTGGTAGCCCTCGGAGCCGTACGGCCCCTGGAAGCCCGTCTTGCCCTTGGCCCACAGGATGAGGCCCTTCTTCAGTCCGTACTTGATGCCCTTTTTGAGCGCCTTCAGGGGCGGGATGTCGATGCCGTACTCGTAGTGGTAGTTCTCGTAGTAGGGGCTGTACTCGTCGCCGCCGTAGCCGCCGTTGTTGTCGCCGTAGTTGACGGGCTGGTAGCCGCCCTTGTAGCCGGCGGCGCTCTCCGAGAACTGGTAGCCGCCGTCGTTGGCGACGTAGTGGTCGGTCTCGTAGGCGGCGCCGTCGCCCGGGTAGGTGCCGTAGATGCCGGGACCGCCGTAGCTGACGGCGTGGTCTCCCAGCGGTAGCGAGTCGTCCCGCCCCTGCGCGGCCCGCTCGGCGGCGGCCACCGCCAGCAGGGTAGCCCAGGCGAGCACCTGAAACGGGCGCCCGACCGGTGAGAAGACTGCAGGCGCGCTGAGCCCAACCAGCGGGTGCAGGCGCCACTCATACTGGCAACTGGGGCGCACAGTATTATAAAGATCCTCGATACGACGGATGTTGTGTTGCGGGAAAGCCACTCATGAGGGGACACTGAACAGTAATCTATGGGGAGTTTGGTAAACAGTTTAAACGATTTATGACAACATCACTCGGAAAGACGTGCAAGCTGTCCCTTCAATTGCGTGCGCTAGCTCTGAAAGTGAAAGTAATCAAGCTAGGTATACAGGAGCTAAACAAATCCGGCAAGAGGGACTAATAATCCGGTCTATCAGGTGTTTAAGAAGTGCTGCTTGTCGAGAAATTGCGCAACGCATGTCGCTAGAAAGTTAGCAGAGTCGGCACGTTCCTAGCGCGAGAGTGATCTCTGAAAAAAATACCCGACCGGTTGTCGGTGTAACTAGTTGGCGTGGCATCTTTGCAGGGAATCTGCCTGGCGAAGGAACTGGTTCATCTCCGCAGCGCGCGAGCCAGCCGGCCCGTCATGTCCGAGTGGCACTTTCTAACGAGACGTGCGAGTTTGCCGCTCACCCACTAACGACCGACAGCCGGGGGGGGGGGGGACTTTCCGCCGTCATTCTGACAGCAAACTATGCAATGACACATAACGTTGGCATGGATTCTCTCTGGAGCTGACATTCGAAAGCAGTTAATGACATTGATAGTTACTTTACATTAAAGTCCGTATTGAAACACTGCCAAAAACGTTACCGTGTGTACAGCTGACTACAGAATGAACCTCAGAAGCTCCTCAGAAGCTATCAGTCATAGGCGGCGGAACGGGGAGGGCACCGGGGCACCGTGCCCCCCTTTGATTTGGGCATTTTAACATTAGCCCTATGGGCGTTGCATGGAAAGAATGGGACCAAAAGTCGGCAATGCCCACCCTTAATTGAAGGTGTTCCGCCGCTACTGCTATCAGTTGACTGGAACGCTAAGTTGTGCCGTTTATCATGCAATTAAACGTGTCTTTTGTGAGCATTGGGTCACAGCATTTAACTGTGATCTCAGTTAGTTTGATGCGGCATAGCCTACCATTCCAGGCAACTAATTGGCTGCGAAAAGTGGAGCATCGTTCTGTAGTCAACTGCTGGCATAGTTGGTACCTATGTTATTTGGATCATCATTACTCATTGGAATTATGTATCCACCATCAGGCTGCTTCAATGTGACTATTAATCCAATTTAACCCATTCTAAACGACCGAGGCTTTGATTCGTTAGTTGGGAACGAATCAAAGTGAACTCTGTCTGCGGCGAAGCGATCTGCTCTATCAGCGTTGACTGTTGATATAGGCTCCACCGACCATCGGCTCAGACGTAAAGAGAATACGCGCTATAGGCTTTCGTTTTGTCCTTGCCCTTTCAGTTTGGCTGTCCCTCTCGGTCCATGACCGTTTCAGGGACGTGGGATAGGAGAATAAGGGTGGATTAGTGTTCCGCCGCTGTTTAGTGCGCCTCAACAGCTGGGACCATCCCGCTGGACCATCCCGCTGGACCATCCCGCTGGACCATCCCCACCGGTGCGCCTCAGCAGCTGGGACCATCCCGCTGGTCCATCCTGCTGGACCATCCCGAGCTGGTCCATCCCGCTGGACCATCCCCACCGGTGCGCCTCAACAGCTGGGACCATCCCGCTGGCACGGGGGCTGCGCCGCTGGGACAGGCCCGGGGGAAGGGCCGCTGGGACAGGCCCGGGGAAGGGCCGCTGGGACAGGCCCGGGGAAGGGCCGCCGTTGTGTGTGCGTAATGTAGAGTGTGATGGGTGAATAGATAAGTGATGATAAAGAAACCCGTGAAAAGTTGTTTCTTGAAGCTTAAACTATAAAGTTGATAGGCGCATGAGCTGGCACTACTTTTTCAATGCGTCTGCTTTCTTATGCTTGAAGTTGTGAAAGCTTAAAAGCGCGATCAACAAAGTGATAACAAATGCTTATTCCTGACTTTCATCTGAGTTCGGGCACAAATGCACGCCTCCATCCTCTGAAGGCGGATCGGCGTACCAGCGTTGGAGGGAACCTGCTCAGAGAGATAAATGAGACTGTATGCGTGTGCTCGACATGTCTGGACACACTCTAATGTGTGCATTATGTGACTGATGTCGGCGTCCCACCCACACCGAGCTGAGCCAGCTCGGAGCTGGCTGCGTCTCCGTGTCGCGCCGGTGCCGGCGGTGCGGCGGCGGCCACTTACCCTCATCTCGCTCCTCTCGGCTCACGCAGAGCTCCGGCTGCTCCCCGGGACGAGCGCAGACACTCACTGAGACCAACCCCGTCCTCGCCGGCAACATTTCGCCTATCGCTGGCCGACTTTCTCTGTCGTCGGACCAGATCGCGGCGGGATGTGGCGGATCCGGCCCCGCCGCGCTGCACTGGGGGGCTGAGCGCCGAGCCGGCCGCAGGGGGACCGACCGGACCGACGGGTCCGGCCGGTCGGCCCGCTGCACCTCGCAACTGGGTCGCGCGGGCCCCGGAACGCAGCGCTGCTCCTCGCAGACTCACCGGAAAGTCAGACGTCAGCCCCGGACCCCGAGTCAGGCGACCTTGACCGAGGCAATGGAGTGATTTCAGCCGCGGAAGGCAGCGCCGAAGGCTCCTGCAGGTCCGTGAACCATCCTCCGCCGCCGCCGTCAGGGACAAAATGCACGGAGTGCCACCGGAAACATAGGCTACAACTCGTCCTGGTTGCTAAGGGCATCGGACTGATCCTATTATCCAAAGCGTTCCTCCTATTTCACTTTCTTTGCACTTTAAACGGTTCAATCTGGTATTAAACAGCTTTCGTTTGAAGAAAACCATCTGTGCAAGCCGCGTGCCGCGTGCTAGCCTAACGCACTATCATGCAGGAACTTAGAAAATTATTGTTAAGTTGAACAGAGTCTTTATAGAACACACACCGACGCGATGGCTTCGAGGATAGTAAACACGATATGGTAGGGGAGGATGGTTATGCATGATGTTTATGTCTCTAACACATGATGTTTATGCACAGGGTGCGCAAAAAGTTCTGACCCTCTTACAGTAAGCGCTTCTATCGCGTGCTGCGGCTGCTTTTCGGGAAGCCAATAGCCGCACACAATATCTTCAATGATCCTGCTACACAGCCAGATGTCGAACAAAGCAGACCATTAACGGCCAGTCATGGAGGCAGGCTAAGCGTCACACTGTCGTTGGATACCTGCGCGCGGCGCGGCCGAATCGGGCATGACTGTTGGGCAAGTTGCGAAATGCAATGAAATTTGGAGCCCCTGCAAGCAATTACGCGTATCAAAGCCAGATACGAATAGCGGAGGTCCTGGAGGATGCCCCCAGGTCAGGCCGGTCACGTCCAGTCAAAACTCTAAGAATGTGACTGCCGTGTCTTATGGCCATCCAGGACAGCCCACGGTCGGGCGGCAAAAAGTGTCCAATCGTCTTCATTGACGCCAATAAGAAGGTGAACGGGACGATGTATGAGCGTCTACTTGACAGTGACGTCACCCCATGGATCCTGAAGACGTATTCAAAAGTCGATTTCGTTTTCCAGCAGGACAGAACACCCGCAAACACGCGCAAGAACCATCCAGCACAAGCAAACGGAGGAGCTCGGGGGAGAGGCCCATTGCTGGCTTAATGAGATATTGCCCCCTCAGTCACCCGACCTGAACCCCTTGACCAAAGCATCTAGAGCGTTTTACAGGATGAGGTACAGGGAGTGTCCAATTCCAATTTGGAGGCCCTGAAGGCACATATTGTGAAGATGTGGGAGACGAAGGACCCCACCTACATCATCAAGACATGCAAGTCTTTCGCCTCCGTGTAAAGAAGGTCATTGCCGATAAGGGGATTATATCGCGCATGAGGCGAGTGAAAGTATCTGGTTTGATCACTATGCAAACCACCTGTGTGGTGTTAGCGTTGATTATAATATTCACTCCGATTGCATTCGTTTATCGAAGTACAGAAATGGGCCAGAACTTTTTGCGCACCCTGTAGCTCGATATTGGCGACATATTTCTGCGCTCTCTAAACGCTGGCAGGTGTAGCATTCATTTTACTTTCTTGTGCAGTAAACTGAAAATTATGGAGCAACTACTTATACTTCAATTTTGACGTTTTACAGAGGTCTGCAAAGTGGCCAAATTGCCCCGCTAGCAGGGTTATTTTGCCGGTTGGGTGGGACAGTTTGTCCGGTATTTATTTAAGACCGATTTTATTACAGGCGAGTCAGCTTCGGCGTCAGCAATGACATGTGTCCTATACGCATTTTTTGACTGTCTCGGTGTCGGACTTATTACCTATATTCGAATGATTTTGACACAAGTCTTACTTCAGCATTTTCCTGCATAACTGAAAATGTGCTTCCTTTGCATACACTGCTCAATCAAACATTTGCATTTTATTTGTGCTAAAAATGTTTTCACAATTAAAATTATAATAAGTGAATAGTGAGAGCCGAGAGGGCATTGTTTGGTAAAAAAAAGTTAACTTTTTACTCTAGTAAGGAAAAAATGGACTAATTTCAACTAAAGATTCTTAGCAATCAATAAAATAACTCAACCCTATTACTGGTGGGGGGGGGGGGGGGGCGAATCGGCCCCCTTCCTTCTGTAGTTTTTTTTTTGCTCTCGACGGAAAACCGCTTAAACTAGGGACTCGAAATTTGGTAACTTTTCCTTGCTTTTCATTGGGCACATTGTGTTAAATTTTTGAGCTTATACCTTGCGCAGAGGCGTCTCCAGGGCGAGTTTCTCGGGAGTAGTTTTGGCCCAGCTTTGACTGTTCCGACATTTGCCGCCAAGCGGCGACTTAAATTTGTATCTAACTGTCACTAGACCTGATTTCTTTATAACAAGGGAAAAAAATCATCGTGAGGCTAGTTTTACCAACAGAAAAATTGCCGCCTGCCAGAATTTTTTTTGCCTAAAAACCGCTTCACATACGGTACGGTAAACGGTAATAAAGGCCTGCCTATCCGCCTATTTGCCCATCGCGCGTGTGGAGCTTCGTTATGTGGAGCTTCGCGCGTTTGTCTGTAGTGAGTCAGGATCGACTGATACCATAGCCTGCGAATTATTCTCGGTTTTATCGAAAAAATGAATATCTTCCACGCAGTGAGACAGGGGCTGCATTATGTGCATGTGATGTGTTTACGTACAAGGACCTGGCAGTGGCTGTGTGGTTCTCACTCCTCAAACTGAGCCCAGCTGAGCTGTTTCTGCGGCCGTAGCGTTCCAGCGTCGATGTTATCGGGATAGACTTCGGCCTTGAGGGGGCCGCGCGGGGCAGTGAGTTCCGGCGGCGGCGGGCGGCGGCACCTACCGAGCACCTCCCGCCAGCGGGGGGCGCCGGGCCGCCCAGTCAGCCGGCCGCCGAGCCGGGCAGGACGCCGCGCCGTGTAGTGAGCGCGCCCGGCCGGACGCCGGCCCAAGACGACCCATCCTCCAGTGACGGTGACTGGTCGCCGCGAGTCCAGCTCGGCGGATACCGTGAGAGCACCGTGCCTCAGCGGAGACGGGCCGGCCGCGCCATGGAGTCGGAGCAGCACCCGAGCCCCGAGCTGACCGACGAGCAGCTGGCGGCCGCCATCGCCGAGCCGCCTGTGTCCGGCGAGTGGAAGCTGTACTGGGACGCGGTGCCGCCGCCGTCTCAGGCGGTGCTGCTGACGCTCAGCTGCCTGCCCGAGCTGCGCCGGCGCGTCCGGCTGGTGCGCGTTAACGTGCTGCGCAGCCAGCAGCTGACGGCGGCGTTCCGGGCGCTCAGCCCGCTGCACCAGGTGCCGCTGCTGGAGGCCGCCGGCGGCTCCGTGCTGACCGAGAGCCGCGCAATCATGGCCTACCTGGCCGAGGAGGCCGGACCGGCCGGCGCCGCGCTGCTGCCCGACACCGTCCGCGGCCGCGCCGCCGGCCTGCGCTGGACGCTGTTCGACGTCACGTGTCTCTACCCGCGGCTCAAGGAGTACCACCTGCCGGTGATGGCTGGGCGCGCGGGCCGGCCGCCGGCGGACGCGCTGCCGCCGCTGGCCGAGGCGCTGGCCGTGCTGGACGCCGAGCTGCAGCGCACGCCCTACCTGGCGGGGGAGGCGGCCAGCCTGGCCGACCTGGGCCTGGCGGTGACGGTGGCGCAGGCGCGCGCTGTCGGCGTGCCGCTGACGCACCTGGCCGCCGTCGGCAGCTGGTACGAGCGGCTGCGGCTCCGGCTGCCCGGCCTGCAGCACGCCGAGCGCGGCAGCGCCCAGTACGCGGCCACGCTGCAGCGGCTGATGGACGCCTGGGAGCGGCGGCACAGCCCAGACACAGCGGCAGAGCGAGACGGCCCCAGGGAGGAGGCAGAGCGCAGAGACTCGGAGGGCCGCCAGTGAGGCCGAGGGACACAGATGTGTGCGTGTGACCGGGGAGGGTGGTGCGCTGGATAGTAGTGGCGGGCTGATAGGTTACCATCTGCTAGCCGGCGCAACAATCGGAAACAGCCACATTCCACACGCACTGTATGTGTTGGATCGTTCATAGTTCTGTTCAGTTGAACATGTAAGGATAAATCCTTTTATTGCGACATGCTCTGATGCTGGTATATAGTTACTTACTATATAGTACCTAAGGTGTTTGTTTTTGCCGTTTACCCTAACATGTTGGGATAAACACGTCTGTCAAGACAGCCTCAGATTCAGATTCACTTTCAGAATCACATTCGGACCCCCTTAGATTTTCATAAAAACTGGTCCATGGGTACAGTTTTGGACGCTGATTCCAATGGTGAAGTCTGTTTTTCGCCACATATTATACTTTGGCCCCTAGAGGCATTCAAAGTTTTTTTGGGGCGAAGGGGGACCCCCTTAGATTTTCATAAAAACTGGTCCATGTGTACAGTTTTGGACGCTGATTCCAACGGTGAAGTCTGTTTTTCGCCACATATTATACTTTGGCCCCTAGAGGCATTCAAAGTTTTTTGGGGGAAGGGGGACCCCCTTAGATTTTCATAAAAACTGGTCCATGGGTACAGTTTTGGACGCTGATTCCAATGGTGAAGTCTGTTTTTCGCCACATATTATACTTTGGCCCCTAGAGGCATTCAAAGTTTTTTTTTGGGCGAAGGGGGACCCCCTTAGATTTTCATAAAAACTGGTCCATGGGTACAGTTTTGGACGCTGATTCCAATGGTGAAGTCTGTTTTTCGCCACATATTATACTTTGGCCCCTAGAGGCATTCAAAGTTTTTTTGGGGCGAAGGGGGACCCCCTTAGATTTTCATAAAAACTGGTCAATGTGTACAGTTTTGGACGCTGATTCCAACGGTGAAGTTTGTTTTTCGCCACATATTATACTTTGGCCCCTAGAGGCATTCAAAGTTTTTTGGGGGAAGGGGGACCCCCTTAGATTTTCATAAAAACTGGTCCATGGGTACAGTTTTGGACGCTGATTCCAATGGTGAAGTCTGTTTTTCGCCACATATTATACTTTGGCCCCTAGAGGCATTCAAAGTTTTTTTTGGGCGAAGGGGGACCCCCTTAGATTTTCATAAAAACTGGTCCATGTGTACAGTTTTGGACGCTGATTCCAATGGTGAAGTCTGTTTTTCGCCACATATTATACTTTGGCCCCTAGAGGCATTCAAAGTTTTTTTGGGGAAGGGGGACCCCCTTAGATTTTCATAAAAACTTGTCCATGTGTACAGTTTTGGACGCTGATTCCCATGGTGAAGTCTGTTTTTCGCCACATATTATACTTTGCCCCTGGAGGCATTCAGATTCACTTTCAGAATCACATTCGGACCCCCTTAGATTTTCATAAAAACTGGTCCATGGGTACAGTTTTGGACGCTAATTCCAATGGTGAAGTCTGTTTTTCGCCACATATTATACTTTGGCCCCTAGAGGCATTCAAATTTTTTTTTGGGCGAAGGGGGACCCCCTTAGATTTTCATAAAACTGGTCCATGGGTACAGTTTTGGACGCTGATTCCAATGGTGAAGTCTGTTTTTCGCCACATATTATACTTTGGCCCCTAGAGGCATTCAAAATTTTTTTGGGGCGAAGGGGGACCCCCTTAGATTTTCATAAAAACTGGTCCATGTGTACAGTTTTGACGCTGATTCCAACGGTGAAGTCTGTTTTTCGCCACATATTATACTTTGGCCCCTAGAGGCATTCAAAGTTTTTTGGGGGAAGGGGGACCCCCTTAGATTTTCATAAAAACTGGTCCATGGGTACAGTTTTGGACGCTGATTCCAATGGTGAAGTCTGTTTTCGCCACATATTATACTCTGGCCCCTAGAGGCATTCAAAGTTTTTTTTGGGCGAAGGGGGACCCCCTTAGATTTTCATAAAAACTGGTCCATGGGTACAGTTTTGGACGCTGATTCCAATGGTGAAGTCTGTTTTTCGCCACATATTATACTTTGGCCCCTAGAGGCATTCAAAGTTTTTTGGGGAAGGGGGACCCCTTAGATTTTCATAAAAACTTGTCCATGTGTACAGTTTTGGACGCTGATTCCCATGGTGAAGTCTGTTTTTCGCCACATATTATACTTTGCCCCTAGAGGCATATAGATTCACTTTCAGAATCACATTCGGACCCCCTTAGATTTTCATAAAAACTGGTCCATGGGTACAGTTTTGGACGCTGATTCCAATGGTGGAGTCTGTTTTTCGCCACATATTATACTTTGGCCCCTAGAGGCATTCAAAGTTTTTTTTGGGCGAAGGGGGACCCCCTTAGATTTTCATTAAAACTGGTCCATGTGTACAGTTTTGGACGCTGATTCCAACGGTGAAGTCTGTTTTTCGCCACATATTATACTTTGGCCCCTAGAGGCATTCAAAGTTTTTTTGGGGAAGGGGACCCCCTTAGATTTTCATAAAAACTGGTCCATGGGTACAGTTTTGGACGCTGATTCCAATGGTGAAGTCTGTTTTTCGCCACATATTATACTTTGGCCCCTAGAGGCATTCAAAGTTTTTGTTGGGCGAAGGGGGACCCCCTTAGATTTTCATAAAAACTGGTCCATGGGTACAGTTTTGGACGCTGATTCCAATGGTGAAGTCTGTTTTTCGCCACATATTATACTTTGGCCCCTAGAGGCATTCAAAGTTTTTTAGAGAAGGGGGACCCCCTTAGATTTTCATAAAAACTTGTCCATGTGTACAGTTTTTGACGCTGATTCCCATGGTGAAGTCTGTTTTTCGCCACATATTATACTTTGCCCCTAGAGGCATTCAGATTCACTTTCAGAATCACATTCGGACCCCCTTAGATTTTCATAAAAACTGGTCAATGGGTACAGTTTTGGACGCTGATTCCAATGGTGAAGTCTGTTTTTCGCCACATATTATACTTTGGCCCCTAGAGGCATTCAAAGTTTTTTTTGGGCGAAGGGGGACCCCCTTAGATTTTCATTAAAACTGGTCCATGTGTACAGTTTTGGACGCTGATTCCAACGGTGAAGTCTGTTTTTCGCCACATATTATACTTTGGCCCCTAGAGGCATTCAAAGTTTTTTGGGGGAAGGGGGACCCCCTTAGATTTTCATAAAAAACTGGTCCATGGGTACAGTTTTGGACGCTGATTCCAATGGTGAAGTCTGTTTTTCGCCACATATTATACTTTGGCCCCTAGAGGCATTCAAAGTTTTTTTTGGGCGAAGGGGGACCCCCTTAGATTTTCATAAAAACTGGTCCATGTGTACAGTTTTGGACGCTGATTCCAACGGTGAAGTCTGTTTTTCGCCACATATTATACTTTGGCCCCTAGAGGCATTCAAAGTTTTTTAGGGGAAGGGGGCCCCCTTAGATTTTCATAAAAAACTGGTCCATGGGTATAGTTTTGGACGCTGATTCCAATGGTGGAGTCTGTTTTTCGCCACATATTATACTTTGGCCCCTAGAGGCATTCAAAGTTTTTTTTTGGGCGAAGGGGGACCCCCTTAGATTTTCATTAAAACTGGTCCATGTGTACAGTTTTGGACGCTGATTCCAACGGTGAAGTCTGTTTTTCGCCACATATTATACTTTGGCCCCTAGAGGCATTCAAAGTTTTTTGGGGGAAGGGGGACCCCTTAGATTTTCATAAAAACTGGTCCATGGGTACAGTTTTGGACGCTGATTCCAATGGTGAAGTCTGTTTTTCGCCACATATTATACTTTGGCCCCTAGAGGCATTCAAAGTTTTTTTTGGGCGAAGGGGGACCCCCTTAGATTTTCATAAAAACTGGTCCATGGGTACAGTTTTGGACGCTGATTCCAATGGTGAAGTCTGTTTTTCGCCACATATTATACTTTGGCCCCTAGAGGCATTTAAAGTTTTTTTTTTGGCGAAGGGGGACCCCCTTAGATTTTCATTAAAACTGGTCCATGTGTACAGTTTTAGACGCTGATTCCAAAAACAGACTTCATCGTTGGAATCAGCGTCCAAAACTGTACCCATGGACCAGTTTTAATGAAAATCTAAGGGGGTCCCCCTTCGCCCAAAAAAAACTTTGAATGCCTCTAGGGGCCAAAGTATAATATGTGGCGAAAAACAGACTTCACCATTGGAATCAGCGTCCAAAACTGTACCCATGGACCAGTTTTTATGAAAATCTAAGGGGGTCCGAATGTGATTCTGAAAGTGAATCTGAATGCCTCTAGGGCCAAAGTATAATATGTGGCGAAAAACAGACTTCACCATGGGAATCAGCGTCCAAAACTGTACACATGGACAAGTTTTTATGAAAATCTAAGGGGGTCCCCCTTCCCCAAAAAACTTTGAATGCCTCTAGGGGCCAAAGTATAATATGTGGCGAAAAACAGACTTCACCATTGGAATCAGCGTCCAGAACTGTACCCATGGACCAGTTTTTATGAAAATCTAAGGGGGTCCCCCTTTGCCCAAAAAAAACTTTGAATGCCTCTAGGGGCCAAAGTATAATATGTGGCGAAAAACAGACTTCACCATTGGAATCAGCGTCCAAAACTGTACCCATGGACCAGTTTTTATGAAAATCTAAGGGGGTCTCCCTTCCCAAAAAATTTGAATGCCTCTAGGGGCCAAAGTATAATATGTGGCGAAAAACAGACTTCACCGTTGGAATCAGCGTCCAAAACTGTACACATGGACCAGTTTTAATGAAAATCTAAGGGGGTCCCCCTTCGCCCCATAAAAACTTTGAATGCCTCTAGGGGCCAAAGTATAATATGTGGCGAAAAACAGACTTCACCATTGGAATCAGCGTCCAAAACTGTACCCATGGACCAGTTTTTATGAAAATCTAAGGGGGTCCGATTGTGATTCTGAAAGTGAATCTGAATGCCTCTAGGGGCAAAGTATAATATGTGGCGAAAAACAGACTTCACCATGGGAATCAGCGTCCAAAACTGTACCCATGGACCAGTTTTTATGAAAATCTAAGGGGGTCCCCCTTCCCCCAAAAAACTTTGAATGCCTCTAGGGGCCAAAGTATAATATGTGGCGAAAAACAGACTTCACCGTTGGAATCAGCGTCCAAAACTGTACACATGGACCAGTTTTTATGAAAATCTAAGGGGGTCCCCCTTCGCCCAAAAAAAACTTTGAATGCCTCTAGGGGCCAAAGTATAATATGTGGCGAAAAACAGACTTCACCATTGGAATCAGCGTCCAAAACTGTACACATGGACCAGT